AGGATGCCACAGCGGCGCCAGCAAGCTCTAAGACGAAAAGCACGAACGGAGGCTCAAGGACATCCCACTCCCGCGTGAGGAATAGGCTACGGCACATCGCGGCGTTGAGATCCAGGTTCAGGATCCAAGGTGCGGATCTTTCGTCCTGTGCGGAACAACGGCAAGCCAACTGGGCGACTTGCTGTTGAATGACACCTCTTCACTGTAATAGGAGTAGGGGGTAATTATGGTCTTGATCTTGACCCTGTCCGATCTGAAGCCATTAATCATGTTGTGATTTTTGCTCGTTATACATAACCTGTCTTCCTGCTTGTATATAATTTCAGGGTCACTATCATTCTTAAGTCATTAGATGCAAGCACTGTACTGTTTTCTGCTTGATCATTAGTTTTTCTCTATCTCGTTGATAGACGAATTCTAGTTAGGTCATCTCGTAAAATCCTCATTGTTCATTTTCATGACCTCGTTGGTCATATGTCGACAAATTTATTAAGCTTAGAGGGCTATATATATAATGCCTAATTAATTAACTACTTTATCATAGTGGATTAACAGTTTAATTATATAACACGACAAGGTATCTCTAGAGTATTGTATAATTTAACTACTACTACTAACTACTCTAACTGCTCCCTAGGGGATTGGGGCTTATCCAGGAGGCCTACCAGGGCATGGGGGCAGAACTAGTGCCAGCCAACGTATGTATTCCAAAGTGTTACTCCATCTAAGCAGGGTAGGTTAGGCCGGCAGGCTGACTATATTGCGTACTCACAGCCACAATGCCATAGACAGGTAGCATTGCAGAACGAGCCTCACCCCCAATTCCTCCACCTCCCCGAGTTTCTTGATACATTTCTCCAAGTGCACTCACTCCCACCGCTCTCTCCCAGCACGCACTGTCTGCTTACGTCTTTCTAACCCCACCTTTCGCTACACTTCTCTCCTCCCAAATGTCTCGCAAGACAGTACTCATCACCGGCTGTTCAGCCGGCGGCATCGGGGCTGCCCTAGCTCATGCCCTGGCCAAACGTGGCCACCAAGTCTTTGCGACAGCGCGGAACACCTCCAAGATCCCCTCCACGCTCACGTCCCTTCCCAACGTGACAACGCTGCAGCTGGACGTGACGTCCGCGTCTTCTGTCTCCGAGGCCGCCCAGGCCGTGGCCGCAGCGACGCAGGACCAAGGAACTAGGGGACTGGACGTGCTGGTTAACAATGCTGGCGCTGGTTACACGATGCCGCTTCTAGACGCAGATTTGGATGATGCCCAGAGACTCTACGAGGTCAACGTCTGGGGAGCACTGAGGACTGTCCAAGCGATCGCTGCCTTGTTGATTGAGAAGGGCGGACGTGTGGTCAATGTGAGTAGTATGGGCGGGGCGCTTCATACGCCATGGGTCGGTACGTATCTCTATTCTATATCCTCTTTTTCCTCTTCTTTGTCCTTTTTTTTTCTCCTAGGCTCTCTCTCCACGCTACTATAGTATGCTGCTGCTTGCCTCTCAAAAAAAAAAACCTCTAACCCACTCTCCCACAGGGATCTACTCTTCCTCCAAGGCGGCCCTGACGAACCTCTCCGAGACCCTCCGCCTCGAACTTGCGCCCTTCGGCGTCTCCGTCGTCACGCTCATGGTGGGCCTCATCTCGACACCTTTCCGCACGAACCAGCCTGCGTTCATCTTGCCCCCTACCTCTCGCTACGCCGCCATCAAGGATACCATCGCCCGCTGGGCGTCCGGCGAGGCCGGCCCGAAGGGTTGCTCGGCCGAGGAGTTCGCAGAATCGGTGCTGGATGATGTCGTCGGCAGCGGGAAGGGAGGACAGCTCTGGAAGGGCCCGAAAAGCGGCGCTGCCAAGTTTGTTTCCAAATGGGTGCCGGCGTCGATGGTGGTGAGCAAATAACCCCTTCTCTCTCTCTCTCTCTCTCTCTCTCTCTGTGTGTGTGTGTATGTGTGTGTGTGCCGTATATATGAATTCTGATACGATTCGGCCATCTAGGACGGTTTGTTGACCAATCAAAATGGCCTGGATGAGCTGGCCAAGTGTGTCAAAAAGGGCCATGAGTAAAAGAATGTAATGTAGAACTCGTGGCGTAGAAAGGAGGGGCATATCAGCGGGTATTCACCCAAGGACAAAATCTTTAAGCCCAGGAAAGCGGCTTTCTATATATACAAAGAAAAAGAGGCGCTGCCTCTATCCCTCAAATGTTTGCATGTCCATGTTCATTGGTATAATTTCATTCCCCTCCTTCTCTCGCATACACACGAACCTTGGAATCAAGGCAAACTAACAAGAAGGTAAAAACGAACGACATCAAAACCAATTGTCGTGGGTCAAAATTTTGAAGGAGAAGTGCCTGTTTTCCCAAAATATATTGCAATATCACTAGTCAAGGAACGTTGCATTTTTTTGCATGTCGAGTTTGTAGTGGACAGCCTCTTTCCTTTTAGAGTAAGCTGGGGACCACTGGACATTCAGTGACTGCCTCCCCTTTACGACACGACATTTCCTGCCCAAAGTTTCTCTTTGTCCATCAAGCATTTCTCGCCTGTTACTAGACGAACCTGATGTAGCTATCATGCGTACAGCAAGAGGCCATATTTAAGCCTAAAACTCTAGAAATTCTACTTCTCTATTCTCTATATTAGTTAGGGTTCAAAATTGAACTTTATGGTCTGAAATAGACCCTAGGGGTCGAAATAAGCTGTTAGGAAGCATCTTATCTATAATTGATAATGCTAATATGGCAGAGCACAGAGCTCTAGGAAAGCATGCCAGAGTAGACAAGGTCGAAGAAGCGATAATGTGCAAGCAGGAGAGCGGAGCCAATGGGAGCAGCACAAGCAGGAGCTTAGTCAGAAAGCGTATGTCGAGGAGTTCTCCATCAATAATACCTTAGAATATTCACTCTCTGGCTCCAATTCCTGACCCTGCTGGCCCAACCTCCCTTTTCTTCCATTGGGAGACATCATTCATTGAACATACAACTAAAATCGACCAACAATGAACTCTCCTGTTTGATTGTTTTTGTTGCTGCTTAGCCAACACTCTTGTGGTGTGTGCTCCGCTCCGCCCCGGCACTTCACTGTTCCTCCGCATTAATTAACTTGACGCTCTAGATCGGCCCCACCGGACAGACGCGTTCTACATACATTACGGAGTGATACATATACTCTGGACTCCATCTCTCCTTCCGCGAAGCGACCGGGAAATCAGGACTCTGGGGACAGAGTCATTTCAGCATCTTCTCGATACGCGCCAATTAATGTGAGTACCTACACCAAATCCTGCCTCTTCCTATTCCTCTCCGAGTGTGCCAGAGAGACTAACACGAGGGTTTCGCCCATGTCCCTTTGTCTAGTTCGCTTTACACTTCCTTCCACCTTCTTCCACCATCCAGGCACGACTTTTGTCATATTCAGCATCCTAATAGCCATCCGGGGCCGGTTCCCGTTGTCGTCTCGCCGCGTTGTTGCATTGATGAGCCATTGAATGATACTGTTTCTAGTCGGCGGCCTTTGTCTTGTTGGAGATAAAACTACACACGTTGATTATTGCCATCTATCTACATTATCTGTGAATCGGTCTTGGAACGAAAAGGAACGCTCTGCCACCTACAATGCCTACCACAACTACCACAACCACTTCTACCGCCGACGCTTCGACGCTTTCTCCCGCCGCCCTCGAGTCCAATCTCTTCAATCACCTCGCGAGTACGTCTGCCCTGGAAGACCTACACGATAACCTCCTTTGTGCTCTCCAACGCGCCGGCTGGACCGAGCGAGTCCGCAATCTCTCCCTGGAACTCCTTCGCGCTGGCCGCTGTGACCGTTTCGATGACGTTGTCGATGCCGTTGTCGCCCTCGCCGAGGGAAGAACCCATCCTGCCGTGACGCCTGAGGATAATGGAGAAGCGCGCGACCCGGAAACCGACGCCTTTTTCGAGAACATCGATGTCCGAATACCGAGTTCCGTCGTTGAGCAGGGGGTGAAGGCGATCAAAGAAGCGCTGCGACCGATTGTGACCATCGAAGATGACGGGGACGCGACAGATGGGGATGGCGAGCAGGAGCAGTCGCAACCACAACCAGAGGATTCAACGCCAACGAAGAAGGAAGAGCCCGCGGATGGCAAGCAGCCGGAGAAGGGCAAGGCAGGAAAAGATATCGGTGGTGGCGGTCATCGTAAGAGCATCGACAACGGCAACAGCACGTCCGCCCCGCGTCCTCCCCTGAAGAACGGCGACGCGAGCCCCTCGAAGAAGCCAGCAGCGAAGGACAAGAAACCCAAGACCGGAGGCAAGGACGTCAAGACCAGCAGCTGAAAAACAAAAGAACACGATAGATAGCTACCTTGTAAAAAAAAAGCATACAAAGTCACAGGACTACAATACAAAAACGGGGGAAGGAAAGGGAGAGGCGTTCTCGGTAATCTGGTCAAAAAAGAGCGGCATCATACGGAGTAACATCATGCGTTTGTTTCTTCGATCGAACTCGGGTTGAGACAAGCTATCATCGGCGGGCGTTACTAACTACTCCTCTACATGTATGTACAGTACATTACCATAATTCTTCCTTATTGATACCATCTCCGTGATCTTTTTTTTTTCTTAATTCTTGTCTCTAGGTCTTAAATGTCACGCAAAAGTAAGAAAATAGAAGCTTGCTTGGTTTGGTTTGGTTTGGTTTGCTTGGGGTTGGTTGGTTAATTGATTGGTTAAATAAGCATCTATTATTCGTTCGGCAGGCAGAAGGGAAAAAAAAATTGTAGATGTAGAATACAAAGAACAGCTTAACGCTTTCGATAGATCTACCAGCTGGGAAATTGGGGGGGAAAGGGGGGGAAAGGAAAGGGGGGAATGAAGACACTCCGATCCCGCCGCTTTCTCGGAATTCTCTGAACTGTCTTGTTTCTCTTTTCCATTGGATTGTATTCTTTCTTTCTTTCTTTGCCTCGACTCCCTTCCACATCATCCATCTGCAACTGTCTTGAGAGCTTCATTCATACCATCCTAGGAGATGCATGCATGACAGAAGAATAAGAGATATTCGAGGGGACACAACCAGACACATCAGAGAAACCAATCTCTTTCATCGAGTATAAAAAGATAAAAGAAAAAAAATTACTTTAGACTACCTAACTGCTCTCACCAATCGATAGATTCAAGCTTCAGTGATAACAGAGGGGGATAGAGACGGGGGAAAACATCACAGAGTTTCATGTTAGTCGTAGAGGCTGTCATCATTGCCCGCGTCACCAAAGCCGTTCTGTCCGGAGCTCCCGGCAGCCTCCTCAGCGGTCGGGAAGCGGAAAAAGGCGCTGCCACCCGAGTTCTTCAAGCTCTGAGCAAAGGCCTCGTAGCGTCGGATCTCAACATCGCTGACGGATCGTCGAGCGGACTTCATGGCCTCTTCGAAGTGAGCGCGGGTCAGCTCCGGCACCGGGTCCTCCTCTTCCTCCATGTTGACGTCCTCGCCGGCAGCCTCACGCTCCTTTTGGCGCTCAATTTCCGCAGCAATCGACTGCTTGATGGCCAGCTTGACTGCCCGTTGAGTGATGAACCCAAGATCAGCACCAGAGAACCCGTGAGTCTGGCTGGCAATGTAAGCAAGGTCGACATCGGGAGCCACGGGCGTCTTGCGCAGCTGGGCCCTCAAGATACTCTCACGAGAGGCCTGGTCGGGCAGAGGAACGTAGACCAGGGTGTCAAGACGGCCAGGTCGGCAAAGGGCAGCGTCGAGCTGTTCCGGGCGGTTGGTTGCACCAATGACGAACACGTTCTTCTTCGTGGTCATGCCGTCCATTTCTGAGAAGACACATTAGCATGCTGGTCCAAGTGTGAAAATTTTTATTGAGATTGAACTTACCGGTCAGAAGCTGGTTCACAACCCGGTCAGAAGCACCACCAGCATCTCCGACAGCACCACCACGGGACTTGGCGATAGAGTCCAACTCATCCAGGAACACGACACAAGGTGCAGCAGCACGGGCCTTGTCGAAAATGTCACGAATGTTGCTCTCCGATTCACCGAACCACATACTCAAGAGCTCAGGGCCCTTGACGGAGATGAAGTTGGCAGCACACTCGTTGGCCACCGCCTTGGCGAGCATGGTCTTACCAGTACCGGGAGGACCATAGAACAACACACCGCGAGACGGCGAAAGACCGAACTTGGCGAACTTCTCGGGGTGGTCGACAGGGTACTGGACGCTCTCGATGAGCTCGCGCTTAACGTCCTCCAGACCACCAATGTCTTCCCAGCGGACGTTGGGAACCTCGACGACGGCAACCTCGCGAAGGGCCGAAGGGTTCGAGACACCGAGGGCGTAGCGGAAGTTGTCCATAGTCACACCTAGCGAGTCGAGAACCTCGGCGTCGATGGTGTCCTCGTCAAGATCAATGAGATCCATCTTCTCACGGATCTGCTGCATGGCGGCTTCGGAGCACAGAGAGGCAATATCGGAGCCAACGTAACCATGCGTTTCAGCGGCGATGGTTTCGAGATCGACATCCTCCGCGAGCTTCATGTTCTTGGTGTGGATCTGCAGGATCTCCAGACGGCCGGTCGGGTCAGGGATACCAATGTCCACTTCGCGATCGAAACGTCCGAAACGACGCAGGGCCGGATCGATGGAGTTGGGACGGTTGGTGGCGGCCATGACGACGACGTTGGAACGGGCCTTCATGCCGTCCATGAGGGTCAGAAGCTGAGAGACCACACGACGCTCGACTTCTCCGTTGGTCTTCTCACGCTTGGGCGCGATCGAGTCGATCTCGTCGATGAAGATGATGGATGGCGAGTTCTTCTCCGCCTCCTCGAAAGCCTTGCGCAGGTTGGACTCGGATTCACCGGCCATCTTGGACATGATTTCGGGACCGTTGATGAGGAAGAAGAAGGCGCCCGTCTCATTGGCGACGGCACGAGCCATCAGAGTCTTACCCGTACCGGGGGGACCGTACATCAGGATACCGCGCGGGGGCTTGATACCGATGGACTTGAAGAGTTGAGGGTGGCGCAGAGGCAGCTCGACCAGTTCCCGGATCTGAGCCATCTGCTTCCGGCAACCACCGATGTCATCGTAGCCGACCTCGTTGAGGCCGCCCTCCTCGTCCTCTCGCTGGATGGGCTCGCCCTCACAGTGGATGATGGTATCTTGGGCAACAATACCGTACTCCGGAGGGTCGACCTCGACCACCTTGAACTCGACTTGTCTCATACCACCACGGACTGTGAACAAGTCGCCCTGCCTGACAGGTCGGTAGGCTTCACGGAAGTATGGAGCAAGGTAGACGTCGAAGAGGGAGCCGGTGAGACCCTCGACGGTATCCGCGATGGGGAGAACAGCGATACGCTTGGCCTGGATGGACGAGCAGTGGTTAGCAGCAGGTCGATGGTGGGGCACATGATTAGGCTGATACTCACATATTTGATATCCGGGCACGGGTGGACAGTGATGATGTCTCCGTGCTTAACACGCAAGTTATGCCTGACCACACGGTTGATGCGGGCGCTGCCATCATCGAGGTCGTCGTCCGCCAAGACGATCAGGACAGTGTCTCGTCGCTTCTTGCCCTTGACCAGGACTGTGTCGCCACGGAACAGCTGCAAAGTCTCCATCGTGTTGTTGGAGAGGGCGATGATGGAGTTATCATCGTTAACCGCATCAGTCACGCTGGTTCATCGTCAGCAAGTTGCTCCTCATCACAAGGGATTCTAGAAGGGAGTCCGCCACTTACATCAACGAGTTGGGCTTCTTCTTCTTCTTGAGGATGGCCGTTGCAGTATCGAGCTCCTGCGACAGGGGTTAGTTCGCGAACCCGAGGGGTCACCACTCTTTCACGAGGATCAACTTACATCCTTCTTTTCGGCGCCCGAGACGTCACTGTGAAGGGAGCAGTCAGCATCGTATCGTCTACGACAGGGCAGGGGATGACTTACTTGAGGTGTACCCTCTGTTTGCTGTGAACGTGATCCGGTTCTGACGACATTTTCACTGGCGATGGGGATGTGCGAGGGATGTTATCAAGCTGCAGTCGACGTCACCTGACGACGTGGACACCAAAACCACACAAAGGACAAGAGTCAAGACTCGTCCCGGAAAGAGAGCAGATGAGAGAGTGTCGATACCACGAGAACCAGCAGACGGATGCAGAGAGCTGGCGGGTGGAGAGTGGGAAGTGGGAAGAAGGGGAAGATGCGAGGTGGTTGTAGGAGGGCTGGAGGTTGGCAGGGCAGCTCCGTTAAGAGGTGACGATATTGACTGGTGGCCGAGGCGGTGGTGACTGGCAGGCTGCTGACCTAAGCACTGCTGAGCTGGCTGTTCCGCGCTGTGCCTGGAGCCCGGCGGGCAGCCACGGTTCTGCCGCCACCTCACCGCCCAGAGAAAGACATGGAATCCGCTCGATGGGTCGACCGTTGACGACAGCCGCTGCAGCCTGGCGATGGCATACAGCGGCCCAGTGGCCAGACCGCCGCATCGAGCATGGTAGGGCTCCAGCAGTCCCATGCGGAGGCAAAGTGCCATGCCTAGGGCTCCAATAATTATTAATGATGCCACTTCCATGAGCTCTCAGTTGTGGTCGAGAGACTGCGCATCCACGTCTGCAACAGCCACATCCGCTCCTTCTATACCAATTTCATCTTATCATCCGATAGCACTGTCGCCTTATAGATACAATCGGTCTAGATCGGGAGAAAGCCTCTCCATCCATGGGTGTCTGAGAGAGCCCTGGCTGGCAAAGTACCGGGCGCACACAGGCGTCCTCCCATGGCCCGTGATGAGGCAGGGAAGAAATGCAGCCTAGTTGTCCGTGGATACGTCCTGTGCCATGGCAACATCAAAGCATTGCCAGCCTTGCCGGCTGTCTCCAGGCAGATGTCTGCACCAATTCACAACTTACCCCTTTTACACGGGTCTTTGGTGACCACGGTACTGTTAAGGCTCAACTTTCAGTCGGGTTTGAAATAGCAATATTCCAGCGGGTAGATCCATCAAGCCATACGTCTAATCGGTCACTGACTCATTGTATACCCTTATCAGTTCTTCAGACATCATTCTTGTCTAATTAGAGCACAGGCATTCGATTGCCTAAGATCCTCTTTTCTTGTCACAGCGTCTGGACAGCTGATCCAATCGGGCATCAGATTCTGTCCAGAATCGGTACCTGCAAACATCTCTCCAGGGATGTAATCACTGCCTACTTGTAGGAGTTGCAGGACTGCAACTGCCCAATCGACTTGGAGTTCTCCGGGGAGACACGGGTCTCCTTTCGAGACCTCGTGCTCCATCCAGGATGGAGATCAAGCCCTGGTACCCTGCCGATTATCGCCTTGCCATGAGCAACACCTTTTCTGAGGAGGAGGTGAACTACTTCCTGAGAAAACCGGGTTGCACTCCCCGCTTCGTCTATGGCGTGCTGATGCTTCCGACCGCCCTCAAATACTATATCGATATGGACCAGCGCATAGACATTGCCCAGAACATGACCCAGGCGACACTCTTTGGCTACCAGCTGTATGCGTTTGCCGAGTCGAGTCCTCCGGTGATTGCGCCATCGTCGAATCCGCGAGCCTCGGTGGAGGGCATGTTGGTCTTCAACCTCAATGAGGTCCAGAGAAACGCCATCTACCAGTTCGAGACCGGCCTGATGGATCTGGTCAGCGTCGAGGTGGAGATCTGTCAACGAGACGCTCGAAACATTCGGAGTTTGCGTACGATCGAACCCGTCGGCACATTCGCGTGGCGCGGTTCGGCGGACGGTCTCATCCCTTTGAGAAGGGCAGCCTGGCAGGTTGATGATTTCCTGCGGAGCACTTTCTATCGCCACATCGAGCGATCGCAGAGAGCTAGTTGGACTGCACCTTCTTCCTTATCCTCGTCGTTGTCCAGAGACTCTCTGCGAGATCACACCGGCCCGACTACCCTGAATGACGAACGAGGAGGTGTAAATGCCGTGTCTGGGGACTGGAGGACGTCTTTGGAGAGGATTATTGAAGAATTATAACATACCAGAAGTATGATGGAAACCTATAAAAGAACTCTTTTCATTGCCGTTGATATTGGACTGATCTTACGAGCAGTGCAACTAGCAGTGCAATCTTCTTTCAGAACATGAACGACAAACGAAATGCAAAGATACCAGTTATCTCTTCGATGCTTCTAGGCATGGATTTGCAGAGATGACACTCTCCTGGCACCATATCGTCAAACTAGAGCGACTCATCATACCAGAACTGGACGACATTCTTCACGATGATAGAAAGAAAGAGTTCCACAACATAAAACGTGCATCATCTTCCATCACAGCCGGAATTTTCCTTACCGTCCGAATTCGAGTAGATTTCCTCGACACTCTGTCCTCATTGTCATTGTCATTGTCATTGTCGCCCTGCTCCTTGTAATTTCACAGCCTATGTACGGGAATCCCCTTTCTTTTTCCTTTATGAATCTTTGGAAAAAGCCAAGAAAACTCAATACCTGCTCATCGATGTTTATGACCACGTACAGGGATGTCTCCGGCCTGTCTTTACTTTCCTTTCAGTGCGATTCTTTGTAATAATAACGAACCTTGACATCTCCTTTGTAAGTACAGTACCATCAACTCAGCCACCCTTCGGAATGAAATGAAAGCAAAACGGATTCGTAAGCCTGGCTCTCCTACTTTCTCATTAGGGGAAAGTAGACGCCACCTTGCCTACCTATCTTTTGATATTCGCGGCATTACCTAATTAGGTTATGTACAGTGCCCAAGAAACCCACCTGAGAACTTTTAGGCAGCTTGTCCTCAATTGCCGCCACAACGGGATCATGACAAATTGTTCACTTTTGCCACTTAGGATTTCGGTCGAGCGTTTGTCAAGCCGTCTAGACGATCTACCAAACCCATGAGATATCATTCTACAGTCTATATACAGTAAAAACATCAAGAATAAAGATACACAGAATATCAAAAACGGGAGGAAGGTGGCTTGGGAAGAGAACGAAAGAAACAAGCCAATGCTACTGCTGTCGGACTATGCAGTGGCAGTCGCTTTCCAAGCGTCATACGTCCCCCACAACCCTGCAATCAGACCGATAAATCCAGTCAGGCTTTCTGGCAACCCGATCCCCTTCTCCAGACTCCAGTGGGCGCACAATGGTGCCCAGGCCAGGTTATTGACCAGGCTCTTCCTCCATTTACGGATTTCCTGTCTTCGGGCCTCTTCTTCCTTCTGCTCCTCTTCCCGCTTCTCCGTTTCGGACAGGGTCGATTCCGCCCTGATCTTCTTCCGCTCCTCTTCCCGTCGGCGGAACAGCACAGACTCCCGGCCCAGTCGCACAAACTCGAGCAGGACATACCCGAACCAGGCGCGCGTGCTCCAGAGATACCACGCATCGACTCCGCCCGTTCTCTTCACCAGGCGTTTCCCAAAGATCCCCTTCGAGGCGAGGTATGCCACATTTTCGAGCGCCTGGTACACCAGAATCGACAACACCTCGAGATAAGCCACTATCCGCAGCACCCGGTCACGGGGTGGAGACTTGGCTGTGGCAGAGCCCCAGGTCCAGATCGAGATCAGGGCAAAAAGACGGAGAGTGTAGCGGGTTTCGGATATGAGTTTTGAGAGGGCGAGTAACGGTGGTATCGATGATGAGGAAGGGGAGGAGGAGTATAATACGATCGTGGGGTTTTGTCCTCGTAGTTTGTAAAGGAGGAGCAGACGGAGACGGTTCCGAACGGCGGTTGATGGTAAAGAAGCCAGAAGGTAATGTAGAGCATGTGAACCGTAATTGAGAGTGGAGAGCACAGATCCAAGGCCATCTGACGTAGATAGCAACCTAGCGATTGAAAATAAAATGAGTCAGCAGGATACTTTATTATTTCTTAGGAACTGCCATGGATAATGCATATGAACGTGGGACAGTTCTAGTAACAACTAAACCACAAGAAGGCAAAAAAAAAAATCCCACTCACTTATTCAGCCTTGCCATCGTCACATCGGTAGTTAACAGCATTGTAGAAGCCACGTCGGCCAGAGACTTTTGGTATGAGGAGACCGAAGACTGCGACGGCTTGGACCCCTCCGTGGGGTCTATCGACGTCCCCGCGTCCTCATTCTTCGTGGCGACCGCGTCATCCCCACAAGAAGGGGGAGGATCAGGCTGATGCGAGGGCTCTGTCATGCTGTATGCGCGTTGCTCTGTACAGTAACAGTCATTCAGCCTGGCGGCCTGCCGGCGGACGACGCAGGTCTTATCTATGTACTGTACTTTGTAGGCTGCGCCGTCGGGTTTCCGATGCATCTGATAACCCGAAAGCAGCAACAAGCCGAGGTTCGGGCATCGGAAGCCAACCATCGTCTTTCCGACGACGTCACCTCGCATCACGTGCAGCGGCCGATCTACAATCCCGTCGGGATGAATTTCGTTTATTTCGTTTATCATTCCTGTTTAAACACACACATGCGGATACAGATTCGGAAGAAGCTTCAGGTCAGGAAGACCTCAGATATATCTGCGGGTTTTATCGCGAAAAAAATGATGCCATTTGGGAATAATGACCCGTGGTGATCCGGCATAAAGAAACAAAGAATTACATACAGGCACGGACCGCGAGGACTATGCCTCCGTCCTATCCTAAGATCATTAAAGTTCAACCTCCCCTGATTGGCCGTTTGTCCTGGTCGTTACTGTCTGATCTATTGCTGTCTGCAGCAGACTATCGTTGTGCTCTTCCCCCAGCTCCAGATCTCTCGTGACAGTGTCGACTGTTCTGACGTCAACGTTCTCTATCCACGCCTCTTTCCCGTCGTCCGAGTCGGATTCAAAGATGGATTGGGATGCACGAGGAGGATATTGCGGATTACCGCATTTGACCCAAGGGAATACTTCCACCTCACCATGCTCTGGGATTGGAGTGATGTGAAGTGCTGGCACCATTGCAAGTGTCGAAAAACGACGCGCTGTACGGACTTGTCTTCTGGGCACGCTGTGAATGATATCACGTCTTTCCTCTCGGTGGGCAAGACGCTCGCGATTGCTGTCGATCTTCAAATCTCAAGCCCACCTCTGGATGTTTCCCTTCTCGAGTGTCGTCGAGGCCCCAGCTGGCCGGGGCATGTGGAACATCCGAGGGCCCATGCGGCATACTGCTTCACTCTGCCGTGGTTTCTTGCTGGGCCGATTCGGGGGCTTTGGCACGGAAGAAGTTGAAGGCCCTGCAGTCAGACTTAGCCCTTATGTTGCTCATGGAAACATCAAGGGAAGCACACTTTTCTCTTTAGTGGAAGGCGCCATTGTCCATGAAGGCGATGATGAGGCCAGATGGTAGAAGATGATGAGAAAGGACGATTTGAATTTTTCTCATGGCCTGGAGGCAGGCTAAGAGACTGTCACAAACTGCAAGCTGATGGTGAACGCTGCTACAGTTTGTAGTGGCTCGATGTTGAGCCAGTCCTTGTTGTGGACTGCTCTGGAGTGAGGTTTCTGTGCAGCATCATTTCTGGCAAGTGAAAGGAAACTGCCAGAGATTTCACAGTTTTCCTGGTGAGGTTGGTAGGGTCATTCTCGACGTTTTGTATCCGTTGGGGAAGTATCGTCCCAATGCGGATTGTCGGGGCTCTTTTACAAAATTTGTAAAGGCCCCAGACAGACAGGCAGTGAGAGGTATGTCCTTGTTGTGGGATACCAGCAGAAGGAGAGAAATATAAAGTATTTTTGAGAAGTTTTCAGTGGAGGAAAGGAAGATATGGATGGTTTGCAGAAGTATATACAAGTTTGTTTCTGTCTGTCATGAGATGGGGCAGATGGGGGTTTATATAGCTTTTCGTCAGGACTGCTTAAGGCTGGCCGTGAATTCGATTTGCGGCGGTCGCCGTCCACAGATCCCTTCACGAATGGGGATTCCCTTCCACTTTACGATATTTTCCCTCTCTCTCATATACTGACGCTTCCTTTCACTAACAACAAGCTCACATGGCAGACAGATCACCAAGGATCTACCTATGGCCGGGCACTTCCTGAGCTGCATCATCACCATATGGAATGAACTGCCGCTCATCCTTGTCATCTTCACTGGCAGCAGGCTGCTCCCTGCCGCTCAGTTTTGATACTACTGACTCATTTTCGTACACAAGCGAACAATAGAATGTTCATCTAAACCTGATATCTGATAGCCTTGCAGAGCAGACAAGCAGCTCTACCTTGGCCTCATTCTCCAGTCAGGCAGTTAGTCAAGTAGAAAAGATGACACCCTGGTCAGATGTTCCTGAGAGCTTTCCTCCGCTGCAGACAAATCAATTCTGCATAGCATCTTGCTCTATAACAAGAAAACCTCCCTGCATAACCGTCTTGCGAGTGCTGATATACTTATCTAGAATGCACTCTCTGATTGGCCGAGCGTTCTTCCTAACCCAATCGGGGTGCTCGCGAACCGGCCAATCGCCAGGCTGCCCGGCATCGGGCCCCGCGCGTTCCGGAAAGCGAGAGGGCGAGCTGGCGGTGGGCCAGACCAGCGAGGGCGCTGCGAGCAGATGCGAATAGGAGCCTCTCGTGTATTGTTTACCTAGACTGACTCCATCTGGAGGTCGAGATAAGAATACGCAGTGCGGATTACGTGCATCTAGCAGCCAACGCAGTCCCTTGGTAGTGGTGCTCCGCCTTCCTAGCCGCGGTGCAAGTAAGCAACGGAGCTGGCCGAGGCAACGCGATCCGTCGCCAGCTCAGCTCGCCAGCCTCCGGCAAGCCATCCGTATTAGTAGCGAGACACCAGCCCCCAGGACCAGGACCCAGGTGTATTCCACCTGCAGCTCCCTCCTCCTCCACCCCCATCCTCCACCTGCACCACCGCGTGTGCATCTCTCGCCTCGTCTCCTGGTAAGTGCACTGCTCAATTCATCCAGCTCTGCTTTATCCCGGTGTTGCGCAACGTTCCGGTAGACCCGCGCCTTGAGTCCTCTCAACGGCTGCGCTCGTCAGGTCGTCCCGGTAGCTCAGCCGCGCCAAACCTTCCCTATAAACAAACACTCCACCGGTCCCTTTTAACCCCCGCGATTCCCCCGGTTGCGCTGTTGAGATCTTGCGACGGAACACCCCCCCCCCTTTGCTGACGTGGAGGCATGTTATTTATGACAGCGAATTGCCCTGCTGACCTGCCGCGCTTCTAGATCGATCCCCTTTGACCGCCTCCAGTTTAGTTCCCCACCTCGACGCCCGTCATCATGTCCGTCAAATTCCAGCAGGAGACTGTCCGCACCACCAGCGGAATCAGGCCAGCAGCAAAGGAACTGGCGCATGAAGTGGGCGAGCGCTTGACGGGTGGTAAGACCCAGACGGGCTACCTCGCGGTATGTATACACGAACGACAAGGACGTCCGTCCCAGGAGGAGCCCTTTGCTCACGTCCGCCGCAGCTCTACCTGAGACAACTGCAGTCGAACCCGCTGCGCACCAAGATGCTCACGTCGGGTGTGCTTTCTGGTCTGCAGGAGCTGCTGGCCTCGTGGATCGCGCACGATGTCAGCAAGCACGGACACTACTTCAGCTCCCGCGTGCCCAAGATGGCGCTCTACGGAATGTTCATCAGTGCTCCTTTGGGCCATGTGCTTATCGGCATTCTCCAGCGCATCTTCGCCGGCCGGACGAGTCTGCGGGCCAAGATTCTCCAGATTCTCGTCAGCAACTTAATTGTATGTTGCAATCCTTTTTCCTGCAGTCCGGTCCTGCCCTCTGTTTACTGACCCATGGCCCTCCTGTTCCAGGTCTCCCCCATCCAAAATGTCGTCTATCTAGCCTCCATGGCCGTCATCGCCGGCGCTCGGACGTTCCACCAGGTGCGCGCCACCGTCAAGGCCGGTTTCCTGCCGGTCATGAAGGTCAGCTGGATCACGTCCCCGCTCGCGCTGGCCTTTGCGCAGAAGTTCCTGCCGGAGCACGCCTGGGTGCCGTTCTTCAACCTGGTCGGATTCGTCATCGGCACCTACGTCAACGCCCACACCAAGAAGAAGCGTCTCGAGGCGCTCAGACGGGTATGCAGCTAGCCGTTCCTCGTCTTTATCTTTGTCCCAGGGTAGTTGTCTTGTCGCTGACTATTTCCACTGCAGCAGTTGGACCAGCAGCGTCGAGGAGGCGGTGCTGCAGCCCCTGGAGCTCCAGGCCCCGAGTACGGCCGAAGGGACTATTAATTGTATGTCAAGGCATGGTCCACGAGATCCAATGACTAATATCTAAAGCGGCTCTCCTGACTATCATGCAAGGATGGCAGCAAATATTTCTGATCTGAGCAGGTGATGTCCCGGGGGGGGAAAAAAAGAATATTTGTCACCTCTCATGCAAAAAACAAGCCACTTATCTCTCACTGCCAAAATATCACCCAAGTCCAAAAAAAAAAAGGAAATGACTGGGATGATCCATTAGGAAGGGGTTGGATAGGGTTTTCTTTTTATTTGTTACGACATAGCAGGCTTATACGAATGTGATGTATACCTATCTCTCGGGTTATTAGCAAAGAAAAATGAACACCTGGTAAAAGAGAGGAGGGGGTTTCTTCTACGTATGATACGACAAGATTAATACGACAAAGATTCCATGCTGTATCTTTTTACGTATCTTTCTCTCTTTCTTTCTTTTTTTCCTTTTGGCGGGATTTATTTGTTTTACGTAGTGATTATGAAGTACTTATGATTCGATGATGAAATATAGGTCTCATTAGAAGGTATTTTCCCTTCCTACGTATCTACCTCTGTATATATAGTCTGTAAGTCGGGGGAGAAAGGATACCAAAAAAAAAGGGCATCAATTGACGCTGCTTTCCGCCTCAGTCAATTCGCATAAAGTTTATAAAGCAAAGCGAGAACCTCCGGAAAACTCGAAAAAATGGTCAGAAACTCAGCCAAATCTCTCATCCTCTTCTCTTCATTGATAGTTGTCTTTGTATGTAACACATGTCTATCCATGTGGATCGGAGTATGGATGGGAGAGATCCTCTAGAACTCTTTTCCAACCTGTCTGAAAAGCCTAAAAGCCTACGGCAAGGTCGCTTCAAAACCAGTCATCAAGGTCCAGATATTCTTCTACAACAATATCACCTCGGATATCATCAGTAATGTTTTCACCTTTTGCCTTGAAGTATGCATCGAGGAATACTGCGATATACGAATCGATCAATGCACTGCATCTGCCCAAACAAAATTCCTGAACGTTGATTTGGTACGATCGTCTTCGGGGCAACTAGGGCGACCGCATAGATGGAAATTTCACATATGGTTGGCGGAACTCCTCGTCCTTGACTTTCTTCGCAGTTTCCCTGAGACGATTCCGAACACTCTCAGAGGGGCGCGGAAGAGAACTGATAGATTTGAGATCAACTGCAGTTCTGATGGGGAGGCTGGATGAATGTTGTTCACTTGACTCCGAATTTAATTCATGAACCTGTCGGAGGGCAAATTGTCGTAGGCGTCCACTTCGGGACTCTGGACCGAGTGGCATGATGACAATCGGCTCATCTCTATCGCCTAGGGAGGCTTCACAAGCTCTAATTGCACTCTTCCAAGTTGTGTGTATGGGGACAGTAACGGATAACTCGTTGTATCTCCGATTCATCGCCGCCGCGACCTGGCGCAGTACCTCCCAGGGTGTTGGGTATTCGTATTGATATCATCCATGGTCGATCTGGAAGAGCAATAGAAGTTAGTTATTGGCATCGAGGGGCTCGTCTGAGGCAGCAGACGCAGTGGAACATATGTACTCTTTCTTTCTTTCTTTTTTTTTTGTCTGTTGCGACTGTTCCTGCCGTCCTTTGTCTGGTGTAGCTGCACAAGTTGTGGCAAGGGTACGTGGTCGTCTCCCTACAAAGGGAGTAGGAGTTGGCTCTGCTGCCATAAAGGTCCGGGCACAATCATAACTTGAATGGGAGGCAATTGCTCACCAACAAGAGCCAGAACCATCGGCAGCAGCGCGCTTGGAACTACCCATCAGAGAGCAAAGGACGCGTAAGCATGGTAAAGGGGAAACAAGAGATACATTCGATGATACTAACGTGTGCTGAAGAAACAGAAAAATGAGAGCACCAGAGTGGAACCAGGTTATTCCTTCGTGATGAGCTTAGGCTTGCCTTCTAAAAGAGGAGGAACAAGGTTGAGGTAACTGCGGAAGGTAACTGCTATCTTGCAGAAGGAAAGAAAAACTATAATGACTTATTACTAACAATGGTGATGACGAGGAGCACAAGATACATCTCCATCAGTATTGCTTACGTGGAGCTGGGTTTATCTCAGAATGATGATGATGGCATTTCCAGCAATGAGTTTAGCGTGATCAAGTAACTATGCTGTACAGTACTCGGTACATCCGACGTTAACCCGCCAGTCAGAACAGGTCACGGGGCGCTGCTAAACTGGATCTTTAGAGCATCCCCCAACTTACGGTATACCCAGGTACAGGTAGTCAGCGTCGACGTCCTCGATGTCATCAAACAATCAATCAATGTTATTCCACTTCCATCGCCTCCCCCGCGGGCTTCCCACCTCGCTTGACCTGCTGCACGAAGCCGACAAAGTCGTCGAGCGTGCCTGGCCAGGCACCGTCGGGGCTCCACCAGCCGAAATTCTCGTCCTCCTTGGTCTTGCGCATGAACACCTCCGTCTGCTCCCAGAGGTCCTTGTTCACGGGCTTCTTGCCGCGTCCCTCCAGGAATTCAAGCCACCAGTCCAGCCACGGCGTCGTAGGGGTGTTCCACGCGATGCCGCCGTTGGTCTCCGTGAAGAAGAGCTGCCACTGCTCCGACGCGATCTCAAACGTCAGGTTGCGCTGGCCCTGCAGCCGGCACAGCGGGAACGCGTAGCGGTAGACCCGGCGGAAGACATCGGGTTGCGATGTGATGCGAGTGCGGAGCTCGGCAGCGTAAGAGATCATCTTTTCTAGAGAATCGCAGCTGTTGTTGTTTGAAGTACAGAATAGGCAATTAATTAGATATTAATCCCAGTCGGTAGTCCAGCGGACGAAAAGATCAATCAAGTGCCTTACCCAACGGATTTCCAGCCCTCAACGAACCCTTCTCGGGTGAATTCGCCCATGGACGGGGACTTCAGCAGTTCGGCAACGCCAAAACAGGCCACTTCATCAAGTCGTACTTGGATGTCGCCCAGAAACTTCATCGCCCCCTCGATACCGATCGTGTCTGGGTTTTCCTCGGGTGCATCTGGAAGCTAAGTTAGAAAAGGATGACTTCATTGTCAAATTAGGATCAACAGTGTAATACGAGCCTCGATAGCTGTCGAATATCTTATTTAAGGACGAAACGGCAGAGGAGTTCCCTGCTGCTTGTGCGCTTTGGAAATATCTGCATCATTGCGCGGTTAGTACTCCGAGAATTTCCAGATGCTATAAACTGCATGAACATTCGCAATAAGTATGTAATTTCGAGGATCCCTGTCTCATGAACGAGATCTGACGGCAACAGACAAAACAAGAAGAGCTGAAGAATGAAGGCTCCTTGGGTTCACCAGAGTCGGGATTCGAGATTCCTTATTTTGGTTTTTCACATAATAATAAAAAGCTCGAGAAATTCCATTGAGGCAGAATTCCAGAACTTTGGCAGATGCGTCCATGACCGAAAACATGAGCGGAACAGGTGCCAAATAACAGATTAAGTCTCCCAAGAAAGTTCCAACAGCCGCATTGTCTATGTCCATAAGACATCAAAGCAGAGTCAAACAGATTCTGGCCCTAGCATGTAGCCTGAGATGGGCTATTTCCGAACTGGAGGAATGCTCAGAGTGATTGCTGTCTGATGCTATGGCATGCGACTGTTTAAAAAGAGATACCAATGTCCAGCCTCTCTGTAATACTTCATCGCAGCTCCTATCCTGCAAAATGCCCAAGTGAAGACTCTTAAACCCAAGGAGCCTATAAAAGGAATCAAGCGGATAAAAAAAAAAGAGGGATGAGAAATTTCAAATAGAAGACGAATGGCAAAGAGAAGAAACAAGAAACAAATCATACATACGCATCAACCGCCTGTTCTACATTCCATCCGTTTGATCGCAGGAACTAAACAAGGTCAGTTCATTCTCATAAACAGTGTATATCATCATCGTGACTTTGGCAGGGTACCGGAGATCGTAATGTACGGTGCCAAGTTGAGTCCGGAGCTGATCAACATACCTTGGCAGCAACCGATTCCTTGGCTTGAGTAAAATTCACAAATTGCGCTATGTACTGCTTCTGAACGTTGGTATACGGAGGCATGGTGGAGTGTTTGAGGCTGAAGAGAGAGGGGCGTATGAGTGGCTATTAATTCAGCAGACCGAGTTGACAACGCGAAGAGAGTGTGGCAGAGAACGGGTCTCGATGTCAAGTAGCAAACGATCAAATACACAAGCAAAGACCGCTCTGATTCAGGATCTAATAGTGACTGGCGAGCTGATCAGGGTTCGAAATACAGTAAAGTAATCATGTCATTCATTGGGTTGTGTCCATCCCCGATTCGGAGAATTGGCCCGCACTTGCCCTCGACGCCACTTTTCACGTGCAGTCACGCGACCCGAAAAAGGCGGCCTTTCCCAGCAAGTTCGAAATGCATGTATACCCGGAGTACCTGTTAAGCAGGCCAGCGGAGCAGTCTTTAATTTGATATTCTCAAATTTCCTGATCTGGACGATGCCACCCACTACTTTCATCAATGATATGTCGCTACTCTGCTAGCCTTCTACCCCGCCTGGCTTCATGTGGAGGGATGCACAAGTAAAGCACTTGTATTGATATCGACATATTGGTATCTAACAAAATACTAGACCTAAAGCAAATTCCCATACATGCCTCGTATCAAATGAAAAAAAAAAGCATTTCATGACTTTTTTTAAGTCTGTATTCACGCCCAACTCCGGATATAGATTTTGAACGCCAGAAATGTCTACATAAGAAACCCATTATGAGAATCATATTTTGGGATTGGGCCTTTTTAGCCCGTGAAGAGCGTATCTTCCTGCTGGGTGTCAGACTGCCACTCATTTTTGAACCTCCAGAAAGAATCCTCACCTCTCTCAGGTACTCTCCTATATCTGCCTGCCGGAAAACGGTGATGCCCGTCGGGTCCAGTTTTCGCGCCTCAGCAGTCGATCGAGCTGTTACTCCAAAGCCCTACTTAGCTGTTAGCAGTGCACAAAAACCACGAAGACCTAATTGAGATCCTACCAGAGGAGTATCATCCATTCCAAAAACCACCACACCCTGGTGCTCAGGGCAATCGTCACTCCATCGGCCAACATGCGCCTTGACGACATTGCCTCCGTAGAGATACGGCATCTCTCCATTCTGCTTGATCCACACCTTGTACCTCGCGTGCGGTGCTATCACATCCAAGGCAGTAATGTGCAGCCTGAACTTTCCACTCTTTGTGAACTTCCCGATGCAGGTGCCCAGCGAGAGGAGATTTTTTCGTGAAACCGAGGTCGCCAGATTGGCTATTGACAGACGAACATAGTATACTCGAGTGCCATGCAGACGGAAAACGTAGCGGTCGTTGGACGCAGCTTCGTCAGACCCGGCTGGAGGCGCGATAAGGTGGTTAAGCGAGCGGCCGGTGTAGTTGGCGAGCTTCGAGAAAACGGTCTTTGTCTCTTCTTCTGTAAGAGGGCGCATTTTGAATATTCAACTCAGAGGATCAATGATTTCTACTAAAGAAATATAAAAGGTGTCCTCTGACTAAAGTCTTGAAAAAACACATGCGCAGATGAAACTGAAGCTCCACGATCAAAAATCTAGACGGTGGAGCCCGCACCTCCGCTAGCGTCGAAATCTTGGCACAGCTGGGAAAAAAAATTACGCCCGCGAGCTATCTACAACCAGACCAAAACAATTCTGCGCTTTTCAAAGCGTCAACTAACGACAAAATGGCTTCAGGAAGAGCCTCGAAGAGAAGGCGTCTTAGTCCTTCTGACGATGAATTATCTCCCGCCCCGACCTCCAATGGAGCCTCAATGAAAGACTTCTACAGCCGGGCCACCGAATGGGACCTCGAGCAAGACTACGAACGTCTCCCGCGCAAACTAAAGAAGGATAAAGAAAAGACGAGATTACCGATCAAAACCGCCGATGGTACTATTCATCATGTGGAGGAGCCAAAGGCTGCTGAGGAGGAATCAGACAGCTTTCTGGACACCGACTCAGGCGAAGAGGATGCGGTCGAAGAGCCTACAGCAGAGGAGCAGGTCCAAGAAGAGGCTCCAAAGGTCCCTCTGAAGGTTCAAGTCATAGAGGCGAAAGAGGAGCTCGCAAGAATTGCTATGCTGATTAACGAGGATCCTGAAGAGCATGTGGGTTCTTTCAAAAAGCTGGCAGATATGGTGGACAAAGACACCCACCCAGCGATCAAAAAGCTGGCTCTCGCGACGCAAGCGGCTGTATTCAGGGATGTTATCCCAGGTTACAGGATTCGTCCTCTGAGCGAAGAAGACATGAAAACAAAGGTTAGCAAAGAAGTACGGAAACTGCGAAACTATGAGCAGTCGCTGCTCTCAGCGTACCGACACTACATCCAACAATTGACTTCGTTCTCTAAAGGGACAAAACAAGATCAAGACAAGGACGAAGCTGGTATGAGGACGGTTGCGGTTAATTGCGCATGCAGTCTCTTGCTTGCTGTGCCGCATTTCAATTTTCGTACCGAGCTACTCAAGATCCTAGTCAATCGACTCTCGAAAAAACGGATCGACGCAGACTTTGTCAAGTGCAGGGAAACGATGGAAGAGATATTCTCCAAGGATGACGATGGTATTGTTTCGTTGGAAGCTGTGAGCCTCCTTTCAAAGATGATGAAAGCAAAGGAGTTCAGGATTCACCAGAGTGTGCTGGACACATTTCTGCATCTGCGGTTGCTCTCTGAGTTCTCGTCCAAAGGCTCGAAAGACAAGGTCGATCGTCAGAACGATGTACCCACCTTTCGAGGCAAGAAACTCAAGGTGAAGAAGGAATTTCGGACTAAGAAAGAACGGAAACTGGAGAAAGAGCGCAAGGCCGTGGAAAAGGACATGAAAGAAGCCGACGCACTCGTCAGTCATGAGGCACGGGACAAGAACCAGGCCGAAACTCTCAAGATTGTTTTCGGTATCTATTTTCGGATTCTGAAACAGCGCATTCCCCATCTTATGGGTGCTGTGCTGGAAGGTCTTGCAAAATACGCTCATCTGATCAACCAAGACTTCTTCGGAGATCTGCTCGAAGCGCTCAGGGATCTGATTACACAGCTTGAAGCGGAGGAAAGTATTGAGGAGGATGCAGAGGACGAGGAGTCTCCCGCAACCGCAACCAGGAACTCTGCTCGAGAGGTCCTTTTGTGCACCATCACCGCGTTTGCGCTCCTCGAGGGACAGGACGTCAGCAAAGCTGCCTCTTCCCTCCACCTGGATCTGAGTTTCTTCATCACACACCTTTATCGTGCTTTGTATCCTCTTTCCGTCAACCCCGATATTGAATTCAATCCAGAAAAGTCCCTGCGGTTACCTGATCCCAACTCCTCCCAAGATGGTGATGGGAAGGACAACGATACCGTTGATCGGTCTCGCCCTAAAAGCAAGGTGAACTTCCAGACCCCGATGGTCTTGCTCCTCCGCTGTCTCCAATCGATCCTCTTGGCTCGCACCCATGGCGTCCCACCTCCGATCCGTCTCGCCGGCTTCAGCAAGCGCCTTATGACGACGGCACTCCAGCTACCGGAGAAGTCCTCCCTCGCGATGCTCTCCCTTATGGGACGCGTCGCCAAACAGCATGGGCGGAAGATCGCGCCGCTCTGGCACACGGAGGAGCGGAAGGGGGACGGCGTCTTCAACCCGTTCGCTACCGATGTGGAGCAGAGCAACGTCTTTGCGGGAACGGTCTGGGAGGGCGAGCTTTTGCGGCTTCACTACTGTCCTCAAGTCCGGGACGCAGCGGCGGAGCTTGAAAAAATGATAGCATCAGTGAAGTAGGACTGGCTTCAGGTAGTGGAGTCCGTCTATTATTCCGTTCCTGTTCAGTTTTTTCATATAGACGAGAGAATAAAAAATTCTGCAGCTGTTTTCTTACTTTTTTTTCCCCGCACGTTCAACTGTAAATATTTTGAATCTTCACAACGAATTCCCCACTGTATATTTGTACATATAGAGGGTATCGACTCATTCTGGCTGCAATAATATTTCATTCCTGGGCCGTTGTATGTGTATTGTTTTAATCTACTCCGTACACATACGCTAACGAAGGGCTCCCTGACTGCGCAAGGTCCTTAAACTTGTACACTTCCGTGCAAGTATGTAATTCCTGCACATATGGAAATAGAGACCTCCCGGATTCTACAAGTATCAAGAACAGTCTAAACTCATGAACTCCTTTTTTTATTGCTATTTTGTGTTTTTTCTTTTTCTCACTTACGTAAATGTACATCCATAGTTCAAAGGCCGGGCTAAGCCCACGGGCTGCAGACAGGGGGAGTTGGGCCGGCAACTCCTGCACCATGAGATATGATGCTGGAGGCCTCCCGAACTCAGCAAATGACACGATCATCAATTTTTTTTAGCTTTTTTTTTAAAAAAAAAGGAAAACATTCTCACTTCGCCTTCGTGATCCTTAAATCCAGTTGCCCTCACCATGTTCCTCCTCATACCAGCTGGCTCCAGACCGCTCGCTACTAGGATCGGCCGTAGGGGGCGTCACGGGCCTCTCGGTAGGACGATGAGCTGGGAGGGGAGACGGAGCAAGACGCGGCCGGGTTGTAAAAACTGGAACGCCACCGCCAATACCAGCAGAATGAGCCACATCGACGTTGAGGCTGAGGTTTCGGTATGGACTAGTAGTAGGACCTCTGCCGAGAGCTGATCTGCCTTGCTGGCTCATCTGCGACTGTTCTTCCTTCTCCTTCTCTTGTTGTTGACGCTGTTGATGCAGCTCGCGTTCACGCAGGATGTGTCGTTGATAAGGGGTGCGCAGGGCAGGATGGACTTTCGATGGGCTTAGGGAGCTCAGGTCCTCTGCTGCGTCCTGGTGAGGGTATGGCAGTTGGGGCACGTTCGAGCCGAAGCTGCTGCATGAAGCCGCAAGTGAGGAGGAGGAAGTCTTCTCAACATTATTGCCTCTTTTCGAATCCTCTCCGCCCCGACCGGGGGTCTTGGGAGCCTTATGTCTTCCAAAGCTGAAATACCCTTTCCGATGCGGAGTCGACTTCGTGGAGGGTTCATTTTTGCCTGGTTTTTTATTTTCATCCGTCACAGATGAGGCCTGGCTCGTAGTCGTCGCAAGCGCAGTGCCATGGTCAAGATCGCCGTCTTTCATTTCCCTTCCTCTCTTCGGAGTCGGACTTCCAGTAGAAGAGTTCTCCAGGTGTCGAGACCAAGCAGTGCTCGTGCATTCCCTACTATAGCTAGGGTTGTCCTCACGATTTTCAGCGACATTGTCTGATGGTGTGCAAAAAGTGACTCGGTGTGTTGGAATGGTCTCACTTTGCGCATTGGAACTGTCAGTGGGCAACTCAGTGACCGATGTCGCTTTCAGATCTGATTCTGACTTCTTGTTCTGCGGCTGCAAATTCGGAGGGAGAGGCCAGGTTGGACCTGTCTCAGAACCCAGTTTTCTGTGGATATGGGAGACTTCTGCTTCGAGACTGTTTATTCTTGTGTTCAAGCGTGTAGACTCCTTTCTGATGAGGTCAGTGTGTGCATCATCCATTCGGCGCATCTCTTCTCGAATGCCCCTGATATCATCTCGGAGCTCAGAGACGAGTTTGGCCAAGTCGGTGGTGGATTTGCTATTCTGCGCTGCCATATTGCTCATGAGGGCTCGAGAGCTCTCGAAAACCTCTCTGATCCGGTCGAGACCTCTCATGTTTTGATCATCTACCCAGTTGTTGCCGTCACAGATGACCCGGGTAAGTTTTGCGACAGTGTTGTTGATGTGGTGATGGAGTGAGAGCTCAACGCTGGTTAACTGCTGCTCTAAGGTCAGGCTGCCCTGGTAGTCAGACTGCGGCGGAGCAGGCGCATACCCACCACGGCCTGTCGTACCAGCAAGAAAAGCTTCGCTGTCGATGTCGCTCACGTCTCGACTATGCTGGCTGCCTCGGTGGGTGGGCGTCTCAGGCTTGAAAACAGAGGAGGAGCTTAAGGGATATCCTCTCAGGCTAGGTTGCCCTCCTTGGTCGCTCGAGAAGCTGAGGTGTTCCGACTTTGACTCCTTTTCGTCAGCAGTCTTTCTGCCAGACTCTTCTTCACAGAATGGAGGGTGAGGGTAATGCTGCAACTTTGTGTTTGGATGTCCTTCACGTTCACTGCCAATGTTGTCATGCGTGAGGGGAGTACGCAACCTGGCTTCTTCCCATACCTGTGAATACTGTTCAGGACAGAGCACCTTCTGATCAGTTTCTCGGCGAGCTACCTTAGTACGGCCTATTTCTTGGGTAGGCGTCAACACCTGGCTTCTCTCTTTCTCATCCTTCATGCTAACAACTCTCTGCTGTACTTTGACGACAGTAGGCTGGCCACAGCTGCGGCATGTCGTGCGAAAAGGAGAGGCATCTTCCGGCATCATCATGTCTTTCACACTTTCAAATGATGCAACATATCTGGAGGATGTTCCTTTTTCAAGAGGAGAATATTCGGTATGTGTACTCTCTGGTGTTTCCGGCTTGTCTGGCTTTTCTGGCGTCCAAAGGACGAATGGAGCAGCCGGAAGCGTACGGCCAGAGCAAGCAGTCTGCACTGTGGACTTGCTGGAACAAGGAAACGCAGAATTCACATCTTGACCACATGGCGCTGGAGCTGACATCATCATATTCTCAGATTCAGAGTTCCTTGGGTTGAAGATGTGTAGGGCTGGGTTGTCTGGGCTGAGCAGAGGCCAATCCCAGTCTGGAAACCCTGGTGGTGACGCCCTTTTTGGCGTCGTCTCTTTGACGTTTTTCTTCGAGTCCTTGTTGGCTTCCTTGATAATATCCTTCAAGCTCAATTTCGACTTCAGTGTCTTCAACATGGACTTCTTTTCCTTGGGGCTTTTGCTGTCTGCGGCCTTCACGTTTGCCAGCGTCGAGGCATTCCGCAATGGGTGAATATCGTTGTCTGTCGAGATTACGAAAGGATCGGTGAACGACCTGACTGCAGCATTGTGTCTGATTGCTGGAGAGGATTTTGACGGATGGAGCTCCCTGCCCGCTGGGCGAGGTCGAGGCATGGCAATTGCCAGATCCTCGTCATAGTTGAGAGCATGAGACGTCCTGGGCTTTTCTGTTGAGGACATCGTGGAACCCTGCTGGAGGATGGAGGTCCTCACTGGACCACCATCTCGCGGCGAGGGATGCTCGTGGATAGTCTGGTAGTCTGCTGAATAAGTTGATTCCTGCTCGCACTGCATTTTTAGCTGACGCTGGCGTTCACGTTCCTTCTCCTCCGCCCAAGCGTTTCCTATTCTTGGAGCCATCGAGGACAGCTGGGACTGGACAGACGGAGCAGAGTGCAACTTTGAGCGATGGGGGGTTTCAGCAGGACTCTCACTGTCCATGATATTGTGAAACGCTCTACACTCAACCTGTATGAAGAAAGAGAGTGTTCACGGGAGGTTGGAGATCAGACGCGTTGACAGACGATGAAGGACGGTGAGATCGATGGGATGACAAGAGGTAGAGGGATGGAAGGGTTGCAAAGAAAGAAGAGATGGATTGTGGCTGGTACTAAGAACAGCAACAGTGAAAGTGAAGAAGAAGAGAGACGTGAATAACAGTAGGGCAGTGCACACAGTCAAACCAGCATGGACAATTGTGACTGGGGCAGAAGGTGAAGAAGAAGAAGGCAGAGAGAGGCAGAGAGAGGCAGAGACCTCCCAAAAAGTGCAAAAACTCACTTCTCATCTCATCTCTAGGACCTACCCGTGCTCCCGCCCCAACATCGTCCCGTGTTGGTGCGTTGCACCGTAACGTCCATTTTGACCACAACGTCCAATTTTGAATATTTCATCAATTTTCTACCTCACCACAATGCCAAAATCGCCAGATAAAATCGAATCCCGAATCCAGGAGGCCTTAAAAAAGGCTTCATGTCAAAAAAAGCCAAATATCTCTGCGTTGGCGCGAGAATTCGACGTGCCTCGCAAACGGCTTCACGAACGCTTCAAGGGTCGGCCACCAAGAACCGCCAAAATCCCGCGCAATAAGGTATTAGATGACCAGCAAGAGAAGGCAATTATTCGCTGGATTCGACAGCTTGATTCCCTACATTCGCCGCCTACCCCAAAGATGATAGAGTGCTGTGCAAACCAGATTTTGCAGAGGAATGTGTTATCTGTATCCAAGCCGGCTCCGCGCGTAGGGGAAACCTGGGTATATCGGTTTATTCAGCGCCTTCCTGACGACCTACATCTTATCAAACAGAAGCCAATTGAGAAAGATCGACTAGGGGCAGAAGATATTGGTATTCTGACACATTGGTTTGATCTCTTGGAGCCATATATAGCCCGGATTCCACCAAAGAATATATATAACTTTGATGAAACTGGCTTTCAATTAGGGCAGGGGAAATCTCAAAAAGTCGTCACTTCCAACCCTATACGAGCCTCCCGAGGCATTGCAACTAGCGAGACAAACGAATCCTTGACAGCCATTGAATGTATCGCGGCCGATGGTACTGTCCTTCCTCCATACTTCATCTTCAAGGGCGAATATCAACTGGAACGTTGGTATCAACAAATTCCTGATTCTGCGGATACAGACAAATATCGAATTGCTACAGCTTCCAAAGGATATACAACAGATGAGATTGCAATGGATTGGATCAGGCACTTCCATCAGCATACAGAAAAGCGGGTTTCTAAGACTGATGCAAGACTATTGCTTATGGACGGCCACGGATCCCATCTCACATATAATTTTCTGAATTATTGTGAGAAATACAACATTATACCCTTCTGTTTTGTGCCTCATACAACCCATCTTGTCCAGCCGCTTGATGGTCAGCCCTTTCAGGCCTATAAACACTATTTTCGCAAGAAAAACAATGAGAATATACAGTGGGGGATATCCACTATGGACAAGCCGACTTTCTTCGTGATATCCCTCAAATTCGCCAGGATACATTCAAACAACGTACAATCCGAGATGCCTTTAGTGATCGGGGATATATCCATGGAATCCTTCAAAGTACTTGACATTCTAGCCAACGCACGTCTCATCTCCGTTCTAATATACGCGATAAACACCATCAATCATCTATCTCAACCAATTCTCCTCCCCAGACAGTTCGTACACTGCGACGGAGCATTCAGAAGCTGGATAAGTTTGTCAATGAAAATCCTAGCCTTGATCAAAGCTTTACACGCCGTCTTGACCGAGTCTTTCAAAGTGCTATACAAACAGCTGAATTGACAGCCCAACTTCAAAGCGATATCTCTCAACATCTAGAGCGTGCACGCGCTCCAAGCTCTCAGAGATCTCGCAGAAGAATCCCTACTATAGGGCCATTGACAGTTAAAGATGCAAATCGTCAGGTTGCTGAACGTGCTGAAGCTGAACGAAAGAAGATTATTTCCCGTGTCCGGAAACGCCAACCTTCAAAGCCAATTCCCACCACTACACAACGGTCGGATACTGTTGAAAATACTCAGGGAGATAGCCAGGATCCAGGAGATATTAATGCGCTATTTAATGTATTTAGATACTAGTCTAGATGTTGAGAAAATTGATGAAATATTCAAAATTGGACGTTGTGGTCAAAATGGACGTTACGGTGCAACGCACCAACACGGGACGATGTTGGGGCGGGAGCACGGGTACTGTTATCGAGCATTTTCCTTTTTGCCCTCAGTAGGCGGAGTTTACCGCGAATATTGTGCAGCCTCCAGAATGGCAATCAACAACAAGCCCTAAGGGGACAACAACAAGTGAACCAGACAGAAACTGGCGCCACATCGAAAAAACAACACACACAGACCAGATTTTTCCCCCACCCTACTTCTTTCTGTCTCGAAAGTCACTAAACTAAGGAATAACTAGTAACTACAGTGAAGGGAAGGAAGATCCAGACTCGGTGATTTGTGACAGCGAAAAAAAAGGGAAAAAAAAGTCTCTCATCCTGACGAAGTCGATCGATATCAACCTCGTGAACCATAACATAACTGGACGGAATCCCCCGCGCCCTCGAAAGGAAAGACCCTTTATTTTGTCGACAATGACATTGAAAAAAACGAAGAACATAGTGATACTACACAGTACGAATCTCTCGAAACCCGTTAGCAAGCGGAACACCTTCCCGATCTGCATATCACACCTATCTATCTATATATACCTCAGCCAACAGCAAAGATGCGATTATTACACTAGATTATATACAACAACAAACGAAAACTGCAGACAAGAAAGAAAAAAAATGAATATTGGTTGAGTGAGGGGAAGGAAGGCGAGCAGCAGCTAGTCACAAAGCACACGAAGCTGATTTAAATCTTCCTGACATGACAGGATTTCGACAAGGATACACAACGTTTTTTTTTCCCGGTACTGTAGTTAGTAATTAATTCCACTGATTTATTGAAAAGAAAGATATCTGGATAGATTAGACAGAAACGAACACGAACGACATTCTGATTTTTTTTTCCTGCAGACGACTGGAATGCACACAACTGTCCTGTCCCTGGAAGACTGACTTCGTCTGCCAGTCTCCAGATTTATGGCATGGAGACAGTTCCAGGGCAATTCGATTGACTTTGTCTACTACTGACTTGACTTGCCCAGACGAAGAAAGAATCAATCCATCCGCTTCTCGAGGATTAGTATCAATCGAATACTACGTACAGACACTACGCAATGCGTTCGATGGATACAGTGGGACCTTTTTTTAAATCGTCGTTGTTGAACGTCATAGATTCTCCTATCATATCATTCATATCATTCAATCATATCATCAATAAGACGCTCCATTAACTACAACGGTACGGTGAATCAATCAATCAATCTCATTCATTCTGGATAGGTATATTCAGTACACGAAGAAGAGAGAGTGGGGTGAGGAAAAGTTAATTAAAAAACGGAGGGAAAAAAAAGGAAATTCGTAAACAAAAGGCCACACGCGATATAGTTCTGGAGATACAGGAGTATTATAATAGCGGAGAGTATAGAGTCGAGTAGATATTGACAAACTTTCATCAAACATTCTTCTTGCTTCTGCTTCTGCTTCTGCTTCTTCTTCTTTGGGGGGTATATTTGGGGTATATGGTATTATCCACGCCAAACATACGCAATCAATGGAACAGCAATAATGGTCACGACTGCGACCAAGAAAAGCGTCCTGATGTATGTTAGTGTGCGAAGGCCAATAAAGGTTCTTCTTCTACAGGATAAAAATTATAGATATATATAGATACGAAACAAATCCAGTAGAAAGAACCCGAAATGGCAAATTTCTTACTGGGAACTTCTCCTGCGACGGAAGGGCGCAAAGAGACTGCCGAAAAGCGCCGTGAAGATCGTCCGGAAAATCACCTTCAGCCAATTGTCTGGTTTGGTCAACGATACCGACTTGATGGACCGTTCTCCGTTAGATCGTGCGTCTTCGTCAGGCTTAGGGCTGAGAAGAGCAGCAGCTTGGTTTTCGGCAGGTCCAGATGGAGTCTCCTCAACCGCCTTGGCTGGCTCTTCTGTCTCTGTGGACGGGCCGGCCTTGGACGTTTCCTGCTCTGTGCTGGCTTCGGGCTGCTTCGAAGTTTCGGCCCGTGGCTCATCGGACAGGAGCTGCAGGGTGGAGGTCGAATTGCCAAGCCGCTTGAGAAGCGCTTCGCGATCGCTGGCCAACATTCTCAGGTCTGGATCTGCTTCAGGCTCAGGCGTTGGCGGGTCTTGAACTGGAAGCGGCTCTTTGCTCTGAGCCGCATCGGACGAAACTTCAATTGCAGGAGCAGCAGGTGTTTCAGAAGGAACCGTCGGCTTTTCGACTTCTTTGGCCTTGACGGTTTCCGGCTCCACCGCAGACGGCGCTGGCTCAGAAGACGAAGTAGCCGCAGCTTCAAGAACAACTGCAACAGCTCCAGCAGCTTTCAAAGCATCTGTCAATTGCACCGCTGACTCGTCCTTCACTGGCTCATTCACCTCCTCGGGTTCGGGCTGAGCGGTGACATCTGCAGTCGAGCTCGAAGCTTCGACCTCTTCGACCACCTTTTCCTTAGTCTCGCTTTCGGCAGGATGCGGTTCCTCCACAGGAATCTGTTCATCATGAACAGGCGCAGCCTCGGGTGCTTTTTCAGGCTCAGGTTCGTCAATCGACTTCTCCGTAGTCTGCTGCTCAGCAGCAGAGTTCTGGGCATCAACAGTTTCAGTGACTGCCTTTTCAGCAACAGCAACCTCAGGCACCGGAGTCTCGTTGAGTTCAGCGTCTGCTTCCTTCGTCTCGGCTGTCTCAACAGCTTCAGCAGCGCCTGTTGAGGGGACTTCAGCCTCAGTGGCTGGCTGTCCCTCAGTGACCTCTTCCTTGACAGCAGCCTCCACCGGCTCGCCTTCCTCTGCAACCGCAGCAGCGGTTTCCGTTTCCACATCTGCCGGTGCTTTGTCTGTCACTTCATGTTCGGCAACTTCTTCAGGCTTCTCATCTTGCTCTTCCACAGGAGCCTCATTAGCCTTTGCAGGTGTGTCAGCCTCCTCCACAGGCGCCTCCACGGCAGGCTCGTTGCTGGATTCGATTGGTGTCTCCTCAACTGCCTGAGCTGGCGTTGCATCGGCTTCCGAAACTATAGCTTCTTGCTTTTCTTCCGGCTGAGGCGCATCGTCGGCCTTTTCCGTGACTGGCTCAGAGACATCTTCAGGCTTTGTCTCTTCCGTGGCGGCCTCAACAGGCTCGGCCTCGACCTCGACGTTTTCGGACTCCTGCTGGCCAACAGCGGCTTCCTCTGTGGGAGCTTCAGATGGTTTAGCTGGCTCTTCCACAGCGACGTCTTCGGCTTTCTCTTCAGAGCCCACTTCCTTAGTGTCAGGTTCTGCTACCTCAGGCTCAACTTCCGCAGCAGAGCTTTCAACTGCTGCGTCTGGGGCAGCCGTAGTCTCTTCAACTGCGGGAGACACATCTTCAGTTGGTTCAGCCGGCTGAGGCTCCGTTGGTGCTTCTGTCTTCTCAACTTCGGCACCGTTATCTTGAGAAGGCTCCTCAGCTTTCACTGACTCCACCTGTTCCTCGGATTCTACTGTCTGTGATGGTTCCGTCTCCGCAGATGCCGTTGGCTCTTCTGGCTCTTGAGATTCTGCGGGCTGTGCTTGCTCTTGGGGCTCTACTGGTTCTGCCGGTTGTTCCTCAGCCGTTGCTGGCTCTGCGGGAGGCTCAGCTGGTTCTTCCTTGAGCTCCTCCTGCGCAGGCTCCTCAGTCGCCGTCTCCACAGGTTCTGCAGGCGCTTCTTCGGTCTCTCCGGTTTCCTCGGACTTCTCATGTTCCGTAGGCACTGGCTCTGCAGGTTGCTCAGGTTCGGCAGGCACTTCCTTGGACTCTGCAGGAGCTTCCTCAGACTCTGCCGGCTCTGTAGGTGCTTCTTTGTCCTCTGTAGATTCTGCGGGAACAGCAGCTTCCTCAAGCTTCTCGGATTCTGCAGGCGCTGTCTCCGCAGGTTCTGCAGGTGATTCTTCAGTCTTTGTAGTCTCCTCGGGCTCTGTAGGCACTGTTTCTGCGGTCTCTGTAGGAACTTCTTTTTCTTCGGTAGGTTCCGTAGGCGCTGTCTCCGCGGATTCTGCAGGGGCTTCTTCAGTCTCCTGAGGCTCCTCAGGCTTCTCAGACGCTACAGGAACTGTGTCTGCAGATTCAACAGGTTCTTCCTTGGTCTCTGCAGGAGCCTCCTCCGTCTCTGTAGGTTGTACGGGGGCTTCAGCCTCGGGAGCTTCTTCTGGCTTCTCAGGTTCTGCAGACACTGTTTCTGTAGTTTCTGTAGCTACTGCCTCTGGAGTTTCAGCAGGCTCCTCCTTAGTCTCCGCAGGAGCTTCCTCGGTCCCTGCAGGCTCATCGGGAGCTCCTTTGGCCTCCGCAGGTTCTGCCGGTACTGTTTCTGTAGTTTCGGCAGGTGCTTCCTCAGTCGCTGCAGGCTCTACAGGAGCTTCCTTGTCCTGGGTAGATTCCGCCGGTGTTTCTTCGGTCTCCGCAGGTTCCTCTGGCTTCTCGGAATCTGTAGGTACTGTCTCCGCAGTTTCTGCAGGTGCTTGCTCGGTCTCTGCGGGAGCTTCTTCGGCCGCTGCGGACTCCTCGGGCTTCTCAGGTTCAGTAGACTCATTCTCTGCAGACTCGACAGGTGCTTCCTGGCCCTCCGAAGATTCGGCAGGTTGCTCGGGTTCGACGGGCTGTGCTGCCTCCGTGACTGCTTCCTCGGAATCTGCCGGCTGTGGAGGTTGCTCAGATTCTGCTGGCTCCTCAGGCTCTACAGATTCCTCAGGCTTCTCTTGTTCCTGAGGCTCCGCAGGTTCCGCAGGCGCAGCTTCTTCAGGTTGTGTTTGCTCCTCAGGCTCTGCAGATTCCTCTGGCTTTTCTTGTTCCTGAGGCTCCGCAGGCGCTGCTTCCTCCTCAGGCGCTGCGGGTTCCTCAGACTGGGGCTGCTCCTCGGACGGTGCCTGCTCAGGTTCTGCTTGTTCTTCAGGCTGTGCTGGCTCTGTAGGCTCGGCTTGCTCAGGCTCTGCCTGTTGTTCAGATTGTGTAACCTGTGCTTGCTCTTCGGGCTCCGCTTTTTCCGGTTCAGCCTGCTCCTCAGAGTCCGCTGCTGGTTTCTCTTCCTCCACAGCCTCTGTGGATTCCACCGGCTCTACAGGCTCCGTCGGCTGGGCTGGCTTTTCGGATTCCTCAGACTTAGTTGGCTCTACGTTCTCAGCCTCAGCCTCAGCCTCAGTGCCATCAGTCGTCTCAACAGGCTTCGTTTCGGTCTCAGTCTCCGTAGGCTTCTCGTCTCCACCAGCCGCTTCTCCAGAAGCTTCTTCGGCAGATTTTTTCCTCGGTTTGAGCAGGCTCCACCGTTTCTTCGGCCTTTTCTTCGGCGGCAGGAGCTCCTGCAACATCTTCAGCGGGTTTCTCAGCTGGTTCCTCTGGCTCGGTTGCATCAGTCGACTGATTAGGAGCAACCTCATCAGCAGGCTTTTCCTCAGCCTCGGCTAACGAAGCTTGCTCTTGGCCCTCGACGTTTTCCTCCGGAGCTGCGGCAGCCTCTGTCTCCTCAGCCACACTCTCGGCAGGTTTGCTCTCAGCCTCAGCCGGGACCGCGGTCTCGGTTGCTTCACCTTGGTCTTTCGAAGCGGTATCCTCGGGAGCGGAGGCATCCTGTTGGGTCTCAGTTTCGGTTGGCTCAGCTGACTCTCCCGATGCGGCCTTGTCTCCCTCGGCAGCTGTGTCTTCGACAGATTCCTCTGGCTGGGTCTGAAACTCGGGCACTGCGGTGTCGTCCGCAGGCGCTGCAGTGTCTGCAGTTTCCTCAACAGGCTCCGGCTTGTCAGTCACGGCTGAGGCCTCAGCATCTGCAGCAGCAGCTTCAGATGCCTCTGGCTTCTCGACGACGGAAGCTGGCTCCTCCTGTCCATCCTGCTGGGCCTCGGGGGCAGCATCGGCAGTTTCACTGGTGGTAGCAGGAACTGGCGCCTCGGAGGTATCCTTGTTGTCACCCTCTCCGGAGGCATCTTCACTTTCCTGCGCCACCGGTTCTTCAACCTTCTCTGCTGAGGCCTCATCCGATTCCGTCACTTCCTCCTTCTCTGCAGGAGTCGACTCGGAAGCCTCCTTTGTCTCGGCTTCTTCCGGTGCAGGTTCCACTGCTGACTCGGCTGCCTTACCGGCGGGATGTTCTTCACTTGCTTCCTCGACAGTTGCTGACTCTTCTTGGGGGGCGGCATCGGCGCTGGGGTCACTTTCAGTGGCCTTAACCTCTTCTGTCGCCGGCTCGTCCGTGGCTGGCTCGGCAGAGGGCTCATCTGCGTTAGATTCGGCGACCACAGGTGCACTTGACTCTTCCTCAGTCGGCTTCGCCTGCTCCTGCTCGTCTTCTTTAGTCTCCGGAGCCGCCTCGCCGTCAGCAGGTGCTGATTCAGCGGCATGCTCTGTTGGTTCGGCCGTCTCTCCAGACGAACCCTTGGGAGCCTTCGTCTCGTCTTCGGTAGACTGTTCCGCTGGCGCGGCGGATTCCGCGTGTGAGACTTGATCTGAGTCCGCTTCCTTATCTTCTGCAGCAGTCGGGGCAGGTTCGGCATCCTCCGTTGGCTGTGAGGCGTCAGCAGGAGCCGCTTCTTCTTCCTTTCCTTCAGCATCCTTTTCAGAGCTCTCTCCGGGAGCGTCAGGAGTGGCATTATTGGTATCCTCTGGAGCAGGGACATTGTCGTCGCTAGTCGCTTCAACTTCAGCAGGGGCTGTGGAGTCGTTCGTCGTGCCATTCTCTTTCTCTTCGACGTCGGCAGATTCATGAGCCTCAGAGCTGATGCCATTTTCTTTTCCAGCCTCCTCCTCTTTCACGGACTCCGTTGCAGCGGTATCTGTAGCCTCCGAAGGGGGTTCCGGCTTCTCGTTGACAGTCTCGACAGCATGGTCGTTTGCGGCGGCAGCGGCAGCAGGCTCTTCCGCTGTCTCACTTTCATGCGCGTTCGACTCGGGGGTATCATGGGCAATCCCATTTGCTTCTCCTGCACCATCTCCGTTCTGTACCGCTGCTTCAGGGGTATCCTCAGCCTTTGATCCGTTCACGGCTTCTTCTCCTGCCTTCTCGGAGGGGATGTCCTTAGCCTCCGCCGTAGCATCCGAGACAGCTTCTGCCTCTGCATGGCCGTTGGTCGCAGCCTCAGCCTCCGTGATGGAGGGTTTTTCGTCAGAAACTACGGTAGACGGAGCGGTGGCGTCGACATTTAGGACGTTGTTGGTGGTCCCATCGTCATCCGTAACTACTAATGTGAGCACTCAGCTTGACGCCACGGCTGGGGGAAGCCACCTACCGGTCTCAGCCTTCTCGTCATGAAACCAGGAATCGGGCGAATCCAGACGGAATCTGTACTGATACTTTCCCGGTGGGATTTTCAATTCGCGAGAGAAGACATAGCCAGCGGCCGAGTCAGCCGAATCTTCTCCCGAAGGCACTGCAGGCTTGGGAGTCAGCTCGAGCGGCTCCCAAGCAGGATCGGAGAAAGTCCCCGCGACGAAAACAGAAGGGGTATCAGAGGGGCGATGGACGGAAATCGTAACAGTCTCTACTGTTCCATGAGCCATAACGTCGTAACGGTCGTTAAATACAAAACAAAACCAAAAACAACAACGCGCAAGCGGATTGAACTGGTTGAGAGTCCCTGTATGGCTCGTCGAGCTTGGACCAGGGGGAACGCAAGACAGGTGCTAGAAGTACAGAGGGGTAGGAAAACAGCTCCCCAGCTCAACAAGCAACAGGAAGGAATACAGCGCGAGGTGTGTTATTCACAATTGACAGAGGTGGTTGATGAGGCGAGGAGAAGAGGGCAGAGAGGAGGGGGAGGAGGAGAAAAGAAGCATCATGAGCAGCAGCAGCAGCAGCAGCACGAGGCGCGAAGGGCAAGCAATCAATAGTAGCTCTTAGTCTTGGGACCCTCGTCGGCGCAGCCGGCTCACCGCGGAGTGGACAGTGGATGGCACCATCGCTGGGGACCTCCGGACCCTCTCGCAGTGGGTAGCAGCAGCGGGGACCTTCTCGTTCGTTGTCACAGTGACAGGATGCTAGCGTCGACGCCAGGCTAGCGGAGTTTGGGTTAGCAAACGATAATCCAGCAAAATAATGAGTCGAATTATCGACGAGAGCGGGGACGCGGCCGTTGTTTTTCGTCGGACGGCAGGTCTCTACTCCGTAGGCAAAGTCACAAGTGGGATGAATCAGGGTATGATGTAGGAGGATGCTGATCGTGCGTTGGGCGGGCGCCGTCCAGACCAATCTCTCGTTCGCCGGCCGCTGCTTTGGGCGCCGTGCAGGCTTGCCATACTGCAGCCATCTTGCTCGGTACTGGGCAGTGGGCGGTGGTCTACATCTCTCTTTCTCTCTACAACCGCTCTCTCCGCGCAGATTGCGGTGAAGACTTTGTTCTGAATGCTGTGCGGACTCTGGTTACGAGTAGTCCGCCGTACCAGTCTAGGAAATACCAAAACACCGGCTCTTTTTTTTTCTTGCTTTTTTTTTTAATTGCTTTTGAGTTTCTACTCCGAAGGGAAAAGGTTGGAGGGGCTTGCCCGCCCGGCCGCTGGAGCTACGAGCTTTTCGAGGAAGGAAGGAGCGATCATCCATGGTCCATGCAACGCGCCTTCCCCACCCGCGCGCCCAATGTTCCTGACCGCACAATGCAGCATCCACACCGCCCTCGCCCACCGGACTCTGCCAGCCAAAACAAAACAAAAAAAGACACAGAACAAATGCCCACTGCAAGAAATCTGTCTCTTGCATAAGGCACAACTGTAACGGCCTCTACCGAAGCAATGGGAAGAGTCGACAGAGCATGTCGCTGTGGGGAGAGGTACATACATACATACATACTGTACGTACATGTACTCGACAGATATGATGCGCATGCTGTATGTCCTGCGCAGAGTGCATACATAAGTGTCCTTGGCTAGGAGGTCGAGTCCCGAGTCCGGAGTACCAAACCAAGGACATGCGTAGGTTGTTTGTGAGGGGGATTGCAGCCGTTCGTCATCCTCCATCCTATTATATGCAACACAAAGATTTCCTCCCAGCTACTGTCCAGTAGATAAGTGAGCCCAGAGCGCTGACCCGTTCGTTCCTCTGCTCGTTTATCCCACCTCGGGGTAGCTGGTAGCTACCTCCGATCTAGGTACTAGGTACAGGTACCTAAGGTACCTTACCTACCAAACCATCCAATTCAAATTGCATGATAAGAACAATCGACTGCACATACTCCAAACTAGATCCTAGAAAACAAGCTCTCCGTGGTCTGTCCATCTGTTGGTGATCTTCTCTCTCCCCTCCCCCTCTCCCCCTCCCCCAAACGCATTTCTTTCTGTCTTCTGTAGGGTGCTCTAAGGCACAAAAGTTGCCACGTACATACTCTCAAGGCTATACTCCTATCCTATCAGGGTGCGACAGTCTCATTAAAAAAGCTTGTTTTATGATAAGAAACCCGATATCTTGCCACCGGAAACCCTTTTCATATTGAAATTCTGAGTCATATAGCGGATAAATTGCCTTGCCATGGATGCCTGAGCTGAGCCTTATGGCAATAACAATGATAATGACGATGACAAGTCATTGATCGCATCGCATCGCATCACTGCTCCGTGACATCATCAAGGGCTGCCACCTCAGAGCAGAACCGGGCAACAAAAAAAAACCTGACTGAGGACAACATCGGGAATCAAATCGAATCGCAATCGTTCCGTGCCATCATCGCTCATCGCTCGTGATAATAACACACCAATGGTCGTTTTCCACGTCGAGGGGGCTGGGGGCCAGCAGGCAATGGCGAGGCGAGTCGAGGGCCATTACACCGCCTTGTTCGACACCTTTGTGCCTGACCGATGCCAGAGTAAGAATACTCTGTATGAGTCGTATCACATGACTTATCGCGTGACTGTCCCGTGACTGCTCGGCTGTGTGAGTCAGCAATTTAAGGTTTTCGAGAGACACCCGATGTGATTCGGCAGTCATCCAATCCCATCCGATGATCAACGATCCCCTTGCAGCAACTCCTTTAAACTACTAACCGACCCAGAAAGTGGAGATCAGCCCTTACCTGCGTGGCTCGCCCATGAGTATGACAGATCATGGCTGAGGAGCATACAGACAGACCACGCCAAACCTCAATTGCCTCTCTAGATAAATAGATCCATATTGGAAACTTAAACACCGGGAGAAAACGAGGCAGAAATCCCACCATACGAACAGGCTGGAAAGGAAGAGCCAGCTAGGGAACACAGAGCATGCGATCCAAAGACGTGTTACCCACATGATACCAATACATCGGTAGAAATAATTTCCTATTGAACACGATTGTGCCGTTTCCCTTTGCCCTTGACGTTGTTGGATCAGACACCAAAAAATCTGGCCGGTATGAAGGAAGATGAAACCAGGAGAAAAGAAGAAAGAGAAGTTTCAAGTCCAAGCGCATGTATTCACCCGAGAGGTGGTAGTACAAGGAGCACATGGTGTCCGACTGAAAGCAGATCAGAAAACGGCCGTCTCGATGAACCAACGCTAACCGCTCCTTCAGATACAGAGCGGACAGGATAGAAAATACAATTGAACCAGAAAATAAAGTCAAGAATCACCACAGTCACCACTATGTCATACGCGCCAAGGCGCAGTGCAAGGGGATATCAATCAGGAAAAGGTTAATATTTTCTCAAAGACAACATCGAAGAGAAAAAAAAAATTAATGTATATGGTAAGTCATCATCGTCATCACAGTTGATACAAGGTTTGCGAGAAAGGGGGGGGGGGGGGGGGGGGAACAAAGAAAAAAAGAACAAGGGAGAAAGGAGGTACGAGGTAGGACAAGTTAAAAAATTTCCAAATCCTCAAACTCTACCACCAGCTTATCACCAGTCCCGCCAGAGTCATCCGTTCGATACCCGTTCATCGACTCCCACATGGTACCGCCTCGTGCAATATTGGTCGGTCGGCTGGCGTACACGCCCACGTGGACACATTTGTCCTCGACCCCATAGAAAAACCAGGTCACTTCCCGCAGTTTCTTCCATGTGCTGCCTACCGCTCCCGGCGTCACCGCATATGGAGAGATCGACGGGATCTGGTACCAGATCCACAGCGAATGCCCGATCCTCTCAAGCTTGATGCGGAGCGAAGTAATCGCGGTGGGGAGATTGGGTAATGCCAGAGGTGACAAACACCAGTCCGCACCATCCGCGGTGGCGCTGACGGACGATGCGTTGACCGTGCCGGAAGAGAATTCCATTCCCGCCTTCACCCATTTACAGCTGTTCGATGATGGTTGATCCCAGCCGCCTCGACCAGAGCGAAGGTTCGACGCATCTGACGGTAACGACTGACCGGGTGCAGCCCCGGCAAAGATGACCAGGCCCCCTTGGTCCCATTCCATCTCCCAGTCGGCGCTGACCGTGACCTCAGCCACCACAAACGGACGACGTAACGAGGTGAACACAATCGGAGCAGTGGACGTATCCCCATTGGGAGGTTTTCTCCACAGGTCCGTATTCGGACCTGCGGCGAGAGTGAAATAGTCCATGCATGGTGGCAGAGAGAAAGTGGAAGGCAGGTTCAAAGCCGTGAATGATGATGGATCTGGCGGCATTCTGGACAGCTCAGAAGATCAAAACGTGATATCCTCCCGCCCTGGGATCGGCAATGGCCCCCCACTATACCGCAGAAAGCAAAGCGTCAGGGACGGGCGACTTCCAGTGTTGAAGAATTAGCTTGCGAAACACGCGTCGCGAAGATGCAGTCTGCGCGAGAAGCTGAAGAAACTAGACGCGACTCCGATCGAGACGCGACAAGGCTGCTCTCCAGCAAGAGGTTATTCTGCGGCTCAAACAGTCATCAAATGATCAAGTAAGCCTCACAGAAACCCTTGGCGCACGTCCGGGCCGGGTCAGGGATCCAGCAGGAAAGATTAGTGTATAAAAGTGAGGCTGCTGCCGACAATACGAGACAGGAGGAAAGCGACACGACCGCCTTCACCACCGGGACTGCGGATGACAACTAGATTGGATTATTCATCCAAGGGAAAATGCGGAGAAGACGTCGGATAGGAAGAATGGCGTTCAAGGCCACCCAGGGGGCAGAAGCCACTGTCGAAAACGGAAGGCTTCGGTTGGGTTGGGGCACACGCCTAGGAGACCCGATGCGGCAGGAGCAGACCCAGCCGGACGAGGGCCGACGGTGGCGGAGCGGAAAGGGAGAAGCCCGCGACGATGAGATCAGATCAGATCAGATGGGATGAGATGAGATGAGATGGCCTCTGCAGGAAGAGCAGTACCCCGTAGGCGGTTCTAGGAAGAATAAGATGGCAGCGTCTTAAATAAATAGCAGACATCCACGCCCTCTCTTAAGTAACACATACCACGCTGCTTTAGATGGACAGACACCAAGACAGGCGGGATACAGAAGAAGCAGGGACTTGGATACAGACTCCGATCTTTAAATCCCATGGCTGGTGGCTCTTAGGGGGGTGCTTTTCTTTTTCTGTGATTTTGGCGGCCAGGATATACAGCACGCGTTCCCAGCGGTCCGGGGGCCGCATCCGTCCATCAGTGGCGTGCGCAGGCCCGATACAACGCCGCCGAGAGCGGGAGCAGAAACCAAAGGAACAGATCCCGAGGACAGGAACGACGGAGATCTGTGTCGCTGAGACTGTCGAATCTGGCCTGGGATTTGCCGTCGACGACACATGCCAGCTGAAAAAGAACGTGGAACCTCAAGACGGGCGCCCCTTATTTGCACGCATTTGCCACAGGCTTAGTCCCCGCTTGCACAGCCGCCAGCCGCAATGGCAACGAAAATGTCGACTTCGTGACTGCATCGCCGTCATCCATTATGCTGGTTCTGGTTATCCTATGTTTTCTTTGTTTTCTTTGTTGTTTACTGCAAAAGAGTTGACCCCCACTCGTCGACCATGTCCGGCTTCCAGGGTCGCACACATTCCGGGGTTCGTTCCTTTGTTCTGGCCTGCACCACGCTCTCTTTGACTGGGTAATCCCTCATGGCATAGTCTCACAGCACTGACCGTCAGTCCCCTTTGCAATCGAACGTTGCATAAGTCCTTATTGCATAGCATATTATACTGGCATTAAGAACCTGGCGTAGCCTGGTAGTAGTTGTTGAAACTAGCGCTGCCATCAGCGACCTCGGAGTATCCGAGTCTTGCGCACAATTAGCGAGTAGCGTCCTGCCAGAGCCGATTCTCCTTATGAGCCGACCGTCGAATATCTTGTCGTGTCGGTCCACCTTTGTTTATGGCTTTATCATCTGAAATCACCATCGGTAACGCGCTAGGATTCATTCGATGGCATCTCTCCTTCACTTTCTCCTGCCGATCTCAGTCGTGAAGACGGCTCGCTTTGATCTTGCGTCAGCTGAGACAGCGCTGCGTTTCGGCGTTCAGCCTGGCAGGTTAGTCATAGTGTTGCTCGCAAACCCGGTAGCCGGTTCCTGATCACCGCGCAGCATCATTGATGGATTTGGTCGATGCACCGGTTTAAAGGAGCACTATGCAAAAGCCCACGATGTAAGAAGCAGCAGGCTGGTCAAATAGTCATGCACGGTGAGGAGGCAGGGTACCTTTTGTTTTAAGCGCGTGCGACGGATCGATCCTCCGGTGGATCCCGTTGTTTTCGACAAGCGACTTGATATGCGACGCCAACCGGCATTGGCTGAGGCGAGCTCTTTCATGTCGTGGCGGCGCCCAGTCCCATGCTTGTCTTTAGCAACACCAAGGGAGTCCCCAGATCGGAGAAGATAATGGTGTGGATTTAGCTCTGCATTGGTCTGCCGGTTCGGCTGCAGGCCACAGGGATCAGATCACCGACTACCAGATTGGGGTCATTGCGAACTCGCCGCATCTGATTTCTCTGCGGCCATCGCAACAAGGCGGACAGCCATGCGGCGCATTGCTCATCCAGCTGAGTGGATTGAGGATGAATGGAGACCCGCTCCATTCCCATTCAGCAGTTGTCCAAGAGTCTAGGTAGACAATCGATCGGCTGTGGGTAATCGAGATCGTGAGAACCAAAAGGGGAAGTCCAGCTCTTCCCGTGACTATCACGTTACGGAGTACTGCGAACCAGAGCCCACAGAGAGCGGTGGCAAGAGAGTCCTGGCCCATGTGGCCATTCTTCAGCTCAACACCGCGAGGCATGGATATTTTTAGCATCCCAAACCAGGCTGCATGACGTAGATTGAGTTCTTGCTTGTCTTGTCGCAGTTAAGCTTCCATGACATCACCTTGCTGAGTTCAGGTTGTCTTTCTAAGCCCGGGATGAAATACAGTATTTTTATGAAACCCATCTAACCATTGTGTTTACAATTAGGTATGGACATACAGTACATACCTACTGGAGATTCAGATATCCCTAATAGGAAATGTAACAGCGCTCGAGTCTGTGATAGTAAGGCCTTAGTCTTACTTGATCTTGAAAGAAGTAGAGCACTCGTATAAAACATGTCATGATCACAAACACATCAAAGGACAGTGTTCTTGATCAGCGGTTTTTCTCGCCGTTGGTGACACAACCGTAGTGTTGATAAGTATCTTTGAACTGTTTATAAGTCTGAATTATTCATCTTAGCAGCAGAGAGGATTCGCAAGGTAAATTGACTGCATTCATGGAATTGGAACTTATCGAGATATCAGTTGTCATGCTTCGTTGCTTTCTTTTTTTTATTTTTCCCTCTTGAAATATTCTATACTGGACGTGATGCGACAAGCTGCACACAGTCATACGCTTTTGATATTGATGTCGGGTATCTTGTCCGGAATAGGGATCGTCCAATCAAAGGCAATGGATGGCGTGGCTCCGCAACATTGCAATCACCTTCCACTTGTGGTTGGGGATAGCGTGATGACCGGCTGGATCTCCCCGCATCCATGGATACCTGCAGTGGCAGGACTGGTAGTGCAGGACATGGAGGAAGTGGGAGAGATTTGAATTCAACTGTTATCTAACTGCAAGCACGCGCATCTGACACCACTATAATCAGTCCAGTCGCGGTGCCAAATGAGAGTGAACCACTCCCATCTCCAAGTCGTGCTTTGATATCCTAGCAAGGTTTGGCGCCGAGAAACGCCCCTCCCGTACGGACAACTCGGATCCAATCTTCCCAAAGCCGACTGATGGCCTTGCTCTGACCTTACTGCAGCTTCATAGTTCTTTCAGAACCTCGAATTGAATCTTACCAGCATTCGATACCGACGCTGAGGCCCATCGTCACGTCTCCGTTGCAGGCCTTTTGACCTGGTCTCACAGATTATTTGGCAAGGACGTTGGCAGGAACGCGATGCGGTAGTCTTCCTGCCAGATCTTCAAATCGACGACAAGAACAACCCATCACACACACTTGCAGAGCGCAATGGGGCCTTCTCCGTGGAGAATGCCATACTACTTCGGCTCTCCCACCACGGAGATTCATCGAACCTGGATCGTCGCCCTTGTCTTCGAGTTTATATACTTCCTTGCCCTGCTCGGGTTCCTGGGCTTCTTGATGAGGAAAAAGCCGGCCAGGAATGCCCAAAACAAGATTCCCTTCGTGTCTGTTCTGTCCTCGCTAGCGACTAACGCACTGTGAGTACCCTGTTCAAAGCAATTCCTGCATGAATATGAAGATTAATTGTCCTCCGTCCAGGGCCGCGTTTCTTTCCATCATCTCCCTCTTCTACAACGTATTGCAACACACGGCGACGCAGCGTTATGTCGTCTTGCTCATGATCCAAACGATATCCCAGATGGCCGCCTTTGTGCTGATGTTCTTTGTGTATTACCGCATTCTCTCCCACTACCTCGAGCGAATCCACGCCAGCACGGAACGACCCCTCTTGATGGATGCATTGCACTCCTTCATTCTGGGAATCTTGGCGATAATATCGGCAGTGAAGGCGATTCTCTACATGGTCGTCTTGGCTCAAAACGTCAACCACGCATACTCAGACGTGACCTCAACTTATCTGAACATATCCGCCTCCCAGGAGATCATCTACTGGCTAGCCTCACTTGAAATTGTTGGATGTGCCGCGTTCGTGATGTTCAAAGCAAAAAGCTTTGAGCTGAGTCGCCGGGTAAGTGTAGCATGCCACCAGGGTTCCATTGCCGTGCGCAAGGACTGACCTTAAGCTTGTGACGCATAGAGCGGGCTTGCGTGGATCTTTCTCGGAAGTCTGTTTTTCTATGGTGTGCACTTCTTCTATGCCATTATTGCCATTCGATACAACCTTGAGATGGTCGAAACACCGTCTAGCTTGACTGGCGGAGTCCCAACGATCATCTTCGCAATCTGCGTTCTAGGAGCGTATGCGGGCATTTCTGTCTCCTGCATGCAGTTATATAAGAGGAGCTATCCGCCGACGGTGTCCCAGCCGATCCCCCTTGAGAGCCTAGTCACCAAGCCTTCTGTCAGCACATCCGTGGTGGCGGGTTCAACAAGCCGTGCCACTCCATGAGTTTAATTCGACAGAATTGGGCTGTACAGTCCAGTTTATGTGTTACGGCCTGTATTATTTTATGACCGACAGAAGGTCCTGGTTATGCTTTTTGCATCATTGCAGGTGGAAGCATTCATGACCTATGCACTGTATATACATACACGTACTGTACATACATAATTGTGAAATGAAAGGTATATACGAGAATCTGAAATTATGACTCTGAACATTGCATTTAAAATGGGAATAATATTCGTCTAAAGTGGATGGAAAATGTCTGTAGCTGATAGTGGACTATTTTTACGGGTGGAGGCCTCGATCGGATCTTGGCGTGATTGGTCCGCCCAGCCTGCTGTGGCGCATTGGCATCTCTATCTCAGCTCCATCGCAACCTCATCTCGCCTCCCTCCCAACTCCAAGCAACGACCATCCGTAATCGCTTGCCTTATCAATCACGAGATACGCGAGATACCCTTTCTCTGATTGTCTGTTAATGATTATTTCTTGAATTAAACTCTGTGTTGAGGTGTGTCTTTCTCTTCTAGTTTCGCTCAGAATCCATCCTCGTCTTGCCACCGTTATTATCAATCAGCGGGCGCAAGGTATCCTGGATACACCTTCAACAAGTCCCGCCACCGGTGCAGTCCGGTATATAAACAACACAGACATCCTCAATCAACGTCACTAGTATCAACAAGCAAAACATAAGAAAATACCTAATCGACCAGCTTTTAAAAATGGTCTGCGCCAAGTGCCAAAAGAAGCTCCAAAAGACGGAGCTGGTCACGCCGGGCGTCAAACGCAAGACAGACATGTACTACGGCTCGCCGTCCAGCACGCTGGGAGCCGGCGGCGACGCCAAAGCGAAGCCCACGCTGGGGAACACGGGCGTGAGCAAGAACAAGCTCCTCAGCCAGAAGGCGAAGAATCCGTACGCGGCGTACTCGTCGTCGTGCGAGGTGTGCAAGACCAAGACTGAGCAGGGGAGGAAGTACTGCCAGCGATGTGCGTATCAGCGGAATGGTATGTCGTCACCCTTTCATACAATTCTTGATTCTTTTCATCGAGAGCAACTACTGACTTAGGGTTACAGCCTGCCCAATGTGCGGTAAGAGTCTAAATGCTGCGATTGCAAACGCGCCGAAGGATCAGCCCGTGATCCAGACGCAGAAGTTTAATACGAAATGATCTATAAACGTGCAATTAAAGGATCAAAAAGAAACGAGACTTCTTCTACGGTTACCATGCCTATCGACCGCCCTTCTCCGTTTAGCAGATGAGCGACGTGACCCTCCCTGATCTCGCAATCGGGGTTGAGGGCATGTTGCTTGCTGCTTAAAATTAAAGACTTGCTACTAATTCCGGCACCTAATCTGTACCTACCTTAGAAGTAACTCCCGTCCGTTTAAAGGATAATTCTAGGTCTTAGTGACTAGCACCGATCACGTGTGTTCCTTTATGGGGAGGATGTGTGATCGATCCATTGTCTAAGAACTCGAGATTAAATCCGATCTGGATGGCGGAAGGATGAGATAAAACACTCCTGTCAGAGTCACCTCTGATGTACATGTACATACATACATATCATTATCATATCATACCCAGAAATAATCAATCACGTCTTAGTGAGACTGGGATTCGTCAGGGTGATAATCCAAAGCAGTCATATCCTAGCTTGATACGCTACCGTCATTATAATGCCTAGTAAGAAAAACTACATATTCACTCTCTGAATCGATACCCATCGTTGTTACGGATATCGATCCACATACGGAGTAGAAGCGTTACGTGCTATATAAGAGGATAAGGATAGGGATATATTTGGTCTACCTACCTAGTTATACAAATATTCCTTACGAGTGACTAAAAAAAGGACAAATATTTCCCTGCTATACTACACATGAGAAGAACCATTTGAAAAAAAAAAGGAAATGTGACAATGTGACACGGATATCCATATCCATATCCATGTATCCACGCTCATGCATGCATGCCATGAATCCAATCCAATCCAATTAATTCAAGCCAAATCTTCGGATGATTACCGCTCTGAGAGCATGTTTTTGATGCTGCTATAGTACTGAGGCAGCACATACTTCGCAATCTCCTCCTTGGCCAGCCACTTGAAGTCTTTCAGATTCTGTTTGTTGGCCGTGAGGTCCGCCTGCCCGGCCATGATCCGACACTTCATGAAAAAGGTCTTCTCGCCCACTAGCAGCTGCTTCTTGGATGCTGGGTCCTGTCTGGGCTTCCTGAAGTTGTAGACATGGTGGCCAATCGGGTGGTGTCCGACAAACCAGGTGTTCATGTTGACGCCGGCAGCCTCTGCAAGAGTTCGTTCGGCAGCCTGTATGACAATAGTAAATTAGCTTATCAATTCACTCAAAAAAAAAGTTTCATGGCGACTAGACCCACCGTTCGAAGATTCTCCTGCAGTCCAACCGGAGAGCTGGGAAAGGACCAGTACCCCTCATTCGATTGCACAAGAAGGTACAGAGTCCGTTGCAGCAGCCGGTTCAGACTCCTCTCGTCACCCGTCTTGTCCGCTTCCGTCACTCGAGGAGCCGGCCTCTGGATCTCCTCCTTCTTGGTGCCATCCTCCGCGGCGTTACTGGTCGTGGTCTCGGCATCGCGAAGGAGCATCTCCATCTGGTGTTCCGGCTCCGACTCAACGGCGCCAACGAGGAGTTCGTCGTTCCACGCTTCTTTCGAGTACGCGTTGTATTTGCCAATGTCCCGCGCGGGCGTCTGCCGCTCTTTGATCTTGCGTTTCCAGTCCTCGTCGGCGGGAGTTCCTTTCTTGAAATAGAAGTATTTAGTGAACGGAAGGGCTAATCGCTCATTCAATCGTCTTTGGTACAAGAAGAATGCCTTCTCGAAAGGCGTCAGGTCGCGGGTGATCACGGGCGGACGGGAGAGGACCACTCCAGCCTTGATGGTGAAGGTCGGTTTCAGGCCAGGATTGGCGGACGACGGCGTAGGTTCTGCTGAGCCGGAAGACACAGGAGGCTGCGAAGAAGCCCCCTGCTGGGATTCCGCAGCCGCAACTGCATAATGGCGGCGACCAAGCGTCTCTTGACAGCTTCTGCACACCGCAGAGTCGAGCGTTGAAGGCCCTAACAAAAAAACAATTCAATCAGCACGGCCGCAACAAACCCGCGAATAAAACACACGGCAAATACGTACGCAATAGCGTTGCTATGCGCCTGACGCCATTGGATCCGGTCGACATCTCCCCGGCTTGGAGGGTGGACTTGTTCACAAACACGGGTATTCCTGTCGAGAAAAGTTCACAGCTCAACTCACGATTTCGACTCCCGACTCCGAGAGCGCGGGCGGACGCCAGAACAGCACTAAACCAGGACCGGTTAGCGCACGCGTGACTGCGACCGCTCTCAAAACCGCATCCTAACCATCTTTTTCTTCCTCCTCTTCTCCTCCCCAGCACCCATCCTTATCATCGCTGGGTTGTCAACTCCACAACCGGTCGATCATTAAGTGGTGCTCAGATCGAGCGTTTACATGCAGCCTGATTTCGCTAGCGGTACCTTCTTTTCCAAGGCGTACGGTTAGATAGCCGCTGCACACATTCCTACCTACGGTCAGCCATTACTGAAGGAGCAAATTATTTACAGTCAGACGCCGACTTTATTGTCCCTGTCTATAACTGGAAGAATCTATGCATCATCTGCCTCGGATTGAGGTCACGTAGTAGATTTTTTGGAGGCTGGCAGTCCCCCATCCTAGGGAGCTCCTAATACCCAATGAGATTGTAGTCACCGGGCCGGGGTCTTCTTCGGCCCAGCAGTGCTTCCAAGCACACAAACTCTTTCTTCAGTTCCAAACACGCGGAGCTTGTTCCCGTAGACATTCCAGAATGCCGATCCGAAACGAGGGATAAGTTCCCCATTCTTGATTTTTTGCGCGATATCGCCGTCCTCTTCTGTGCTTGAAAGGTCAGAACTGCGACCAATTTCTGTTTCATCAGAGTCAACAGTTTCAACAGTGTCAGTGAGAAGATCGAATTTGGTACGATGTGCAAATCTTGTCTCGGCCTTGGGGATTTTAGCAGGCTCCTGCCTCGGTGGCTCAAGGTGTTCCTGTACTTTCTCGCCTTTCCTCCCTGGCGTTTTGGAAATTTCGGGATGAAGCCCTTCGTGTGTGTCGATAGCTTTGATAGATGTAGGCTTGTGCTTGTCAACTTCGACACCAGAGTCTTCCTGGCATAGCTGGGCGGATAGCTTAATAAACACTTTCGCGGTGAGCATGCTGTCATAGCCTGCCTCATGGAACAGTTCCTGGCTTTCGTACTTGCTGTGCTGGGGATCGACGACTGAATGCTGTTGTCAGTGAGAGCTATGTCGCTGCAGAAGATCCACTAACCAATTTCCGGTTTCGTCTTCTCTTTCAAGGCGTCATTGATCTCTGCCAATGAAGAGCTTGGGATGATAGAGCCACACTCATGAGTAGCCATGTATTTCGTGTCGATGAGGATGGGAAACATCTCATGAACCATGTCCTGGAAATCCTCCACGCGCTCAGGAAGATTTCCGAAGAAGCATTGGCAGAAGTTGATGAGATCGAGAAAGAGGTTGTGGCCGACCAAAGTAGGTCTTCTGACTTTTAACCGCTGCTTGATACTCTCGGCAAATTCCTCCACGGCTTTTTCTTTCTTCATCCCTTTCAAATCCACCACGAGGTGTGAAAACGTTTTAGGATCTAGTTTTGATAAATCTCCCCCTGTCAGCGCTTCGGCAATCCATCTAAACCCCGTTTGTCGTAGAATCCGCTCTTCAGTCCGTCGCATCCTCTCCATTTTAACTGCTTCCTCGCGGACTTCATCATAGCGGATGATCTGGACAAAACCTGGCTTTCCAATGGTCACGAGAGAAGGGTATTCTGACTGGACGAGCTGGTGAACCAGCCTTTTCTGGAACCTATTCAGGACCGTCAATGGAGGATTCGATCCGCGAACTTTTTTCTCGCGAGCTGGAGGTGGAATGTTGAGATAATCATCTGCCCGCTGTGAATTCCCAAGTAAGTCTGTGATTACTGAGAGAGGGGAGCGGACCATATACCTTGCCCTTAGCAAGCCAAGCATCGATGGCTCGTCGAACAGTCCCAAGAAATTCCAGCGACTCCGTATCAGATTCTCGAACATCGATCAGAGATCTCTCAACCGCTCGGTCTTGTCTTTGCAATGCCTTGGCCATTGCCCGTTTCTCTTCGTCCCTCGAGATGTAGTAGACACCTTCTTCGAAAGGAGTCTGCAGGCGAAACTTGTTTGCCATCAAAAACTCGATCGCTAGAGCGGTGCAATGTTACTAAACAGAAGCCATCTAATTTTTAAAAGGAACGTTCATACCACTGCTCTGACAGGACCAGACTCGCTCTATCTCCAATCGTTGGTCGATGATGGGGCTAAGGTGGAAATTGTAGGGCTTGAGCGTATAAGTCCCTAAGTCACACTGAGTTCAGATAATTTTCATGACGGCAGCTGGGAGAGTAACCTGTTGCCACATCTTCATGTGCGATGGTGAGGCCGATCTGCAAGACCTGATATCTCTCCGCCGCCTCTTTGGTCTGAGCATAGCGTTCCTGGAGCGTCTGCATCCCGGTGTAAGGTGCTCCGCTTGAATGCGCAGGGATACCAGAAAGCTCCAGATCCATCGCCACAAATGAACAGGTGGTAAGGTCATGAAGAATATTGGCTAGATGAAAGGGAAAAGCATCCCGTGGGACATCCATTCTGCTTGTCAAGGCTGCAAATCTCTGTTTGCAAAGCAGACCCAAGTAAGATAAAATAACAGATGGAATGAAAATAAGTGAACATTCTCCTATACAGCACAGTACGGAAATGTTTGAGGCAGGCAAGGCATGGCGTTGGGGTGCTTGTGCTCAGAGGATAGCGGCAGCAGGCGCGACAGTCGGCAGCTTTACAGAGATTTATTTTGGTGGCGCTCTGGGACAGTAGCAAGTGAGAGAACCAAGAATGGATTTCTCATTGCCCAGTCAGCAGAATGACAATGAGCAGCGATGCTATTAATGAAGTCGTAAATCCATAACTTAGAAGTCAACAATACTGGGCATTCCGTGGCAATGACATCGCTTCTCCAGATTGTTGTTGCGACGGATCCGCAACCAACCCCGGACGGACACGATTAACTCGCCCGCCGAACCGAGGATAAGCACCGCCCAGGTTACCCGTTGGCGGCGCTAGCGGACGATGCTCTGCTGCCATTGCGTGTGACAATCATCATCGTCATCCTCCAACTATCTGCATTCTGTGCAGTCTTCATTAATTGGTGTCCTCGACCCGTCAATCTTCGGCTCTGAATCAATCGTCTTGACCACGGCCATCCATCTGGCGAAATGGCCGACGACGGGTCCCACCTCGCGACATCGCAGTCGCTAGCTTCCTCGACCTTGTCCTCTTCGACTTCCTCCCTCTCGACCTCGAAGCTCTGCTCTCAGACATACAAGACCGCCTCGCAGCTGTTCCTTACCCGCCGTCTCCAAGAATCCTTGGCTGCTTTGACCCCGATCATCACCGTTCCCGCGACACAGGATGACGAACGATACACGAATGGCGATGACGTCGCCTCAGCGGTTGCGCCAATTGCGACCGCTTCCAGTACCATGAGAATCAAGGTCTGGAACTTGTATATTACCTTGCTCAGCAATATCGTCGACTTGGGCCCAGAAGAGGGCAAGCAAGCTTTTGGCCAGAAGGAGTGGAAGGCACTGGTGAACAAAGTCCGAGACGGCGAAATATGGGAAGAGATCGTCCGGATTGGGTACCGAGGACTCGAAGGCTCAGTAGACGCAGATGTTGTGTATAACCTGTGAGTTGATTCCCTGTATCGAACTGCGCGATTCCTTCTGACGGACGGTTTGATCGTACAGAGCCACTTTACTATTGAACCACTCCCCGTCGCAGAAGCTCAACCAACAACGGCTAGAGACGTATCTCTCGGCTTCTGGTCAACCAGATCTGGATATCGCCGCCCATTTGCAGGACTCTCCGTCAGACTCACGGAGTCACCTGCCTCGTAATGGAGGAACAGATACCCCGAAGGATCTTACGGCGCGAGTCAAGATCATTGAACTTTTCACACTCCATGTGTTACCAAGAAACGAGGAGTGGGATTATGCGAGGGAATTCATCCGATTCAGTGAAGTCCTCGATGAGGAACGGAAGGATGTTTTTCTCCAGACCTTGGAGGGGCTCAAGGAGGAGAAGGAAAAGGGCAACCAGCGGGCTGCTGAACTGCAGCGTGAAAAGGAAGCGGAGCTCGAGCGTCAAATGCGGGAGGAGGAGCAGCGAAGAGCAGAGGCCGCCGCCGCTGCTGAGCGGCTGCAGCAGAACGGACACAAGCGAACCAGCAGTGAGGTGGACTATGGGATCGAAAAGAATCATCCAAACGGGGTGACCAAGAGCCGATCGTCGAAACAGGCCGACAAGCAGAGCACCACTGCCGGGAAGTCCATCCCTCCATCGGGACGGACGACATTCTCACCATCCCCACCACCCGGCTCATCGAAAAATGTCAAAAAGACGACAGGGAAGCCAGCAGCGCCTGTGACACGCCAGGTGCGTGCCTTGCTGAGTGCGCTGCAGAATCTCCTCCGGAACCTGGGCCAGAGTGTAGCAGGGAATCCCATGGCGTTCCTGCGCACGCTCCTCTTCATGCTAGGGATCATCATGGCCTTCAGCAGACAGGATGTGCGCGAACGGATACGAAAACTGACCAACACGAGCTGGCAGAAGGTCCGGGGGACGATCGGGATGGGAATGAAAGTTAGCTACATCTGAGATTGAAGTGAGACGGGGAAAAGGATTCGAAGAATGGTCTTTTTTTTTTGTTATTATTATTTTTTTTTCTACGTGAAAGTATTGGGGGCTATCAGGTGTAAATATTGCGTTTTTTCTTTCATCTTTTCTCTCGTGATTCTACTTCGTCGATGGGGTTCGCACTGCCGGGTCTATTGGGTAGATTTTTTCTTCAAGCACTGAGCAATGAACATGAATAGTATATATACTTGGATACACGAGTTCCTAGCATTTTCTCATGCACTTTGGCCTGTTCAAGGGATAGCTCCTTTCAAATCTTCTATATTAAGGACAGCGAATTGACCGGTATCCAGACCGGTCCTGTCTATTAGTATGAAATATGAGATATATAGTATAGATCGAATCGATGCTAAGAGTCAG